GAGGGCCGAGACGAACTCTGAGCTGAACGGATGTTTATTAGTCTTTATTGTTAATAAAAGTTAATAAAACTGTTAGTTTTATTAACTTTTCTCCATTACATAAATATGCAAAATGCATGTATTGGTTAATGTGTGTTATGTGCTTTGATTGATATGTTTGGTTTAGTTTTTTCTGTAAGTGCAAAATGGATTTTTCCTTTCTTTCTTTAAAAATATGGAAATAAAGAAAGTTTTATTCGTAGTATGTCATTTTGTGCAAAATGCTTCTTTTAACATATTTTTTATTCGTTCATTATTGAAAGAGGGACAGAAACCTCTTCCAGCCACCGTAAACAACCACATTCACTACAAGCTTATTTGACTTTTCATGAGCTGCAAATTTCACCTTTAATGCATGAATTGAAAAATAAAACAAGTCTTGTAAAGACTTGTAGTAAAGAAAAGACATTAGAGAAAACAGACGTATCTCCTCACCCTGCAGAGGCTCCTTTCTTCTGCCAACTCCAAGGGGCAAAGTATCAGAAAAAGGCCCTAAAATGAAAGGTGTGGTTCTGACTTTTGTTCTTTAAGAGCAGTTTTACTTTTCATTGTAATCAGTTTCTAAGCAAAACCCCTCAAACATTTCTCTTTCCACATTAAACTGTTGATGCAAAAACCTGCTGCATTTTAGTAGCTTTTACAGAGAACAACGACCTGTTAACGCTTTATAGATCGTTTTGATCCCTGGCCTGAGAAGAAGTTGCCGCTTACCTTTACAGAAGTGGGTGACTCCTTTCTAATGTTATTTTTTATACTACATCTCCTCAACCTGTAGAATGATTCTAGAGATCTCCTCTAGAAGCTACAATTTGGATTCTTTACATCCTGGAGAGTAAAAAAGGAGCATTAGCTGCTAGAGAAGCTGCTATAGGCTCTTCAGGCTGTGGATGGACACCAACTAACAACATGCTTAGCTTATTTTTATTGCTCATTGATGTGATTGTCTCTCTTGCACTGCGTCTTGTGTTGCAGTTAGAAAGCATACTAGTGATGAAGACATGGCGGCGGTTCAAGGCTTTTCATCACTTCAGGAGGAGGAAGCAGCTGCAGCATTAGCAGCAGCAGATCTTCAGAGATTTGCAAACATTTTGTGCTGCGCAAACTTTCCACAGCTCAGTGTTCAATAATCAGAGGGAAATATTTTCTCTCCAAAGTTTACAGTCAAAATTCACTAAATCTCACATATTTTATGTTTGAAAATTGATTGTGCAACAGCTAAATAGTGAGACACTGTTTGCATGTCTGAGCTGTAAAAGCTTTCAGTCAGACTGGATAGAAAATAGATCATCTAAAATAATCATCAGGTGCATCAAACCTCCATCAGTTCAGTGTGTCTGTTCAGGTCGGTGTCAGTTTGCGTCTCTGCATTTATTTCTGGAACATCAACTTTAACCTGCAGCTTCGTTCAGCCACAGGAACAGGAAGTTCTGACCCATATGACCCGGGCGTCGGAGTCAAACGGTTCAGTCAGCGTCAGGCGTCAGCCATGGAGGTTTCATCTCTCTGTAAGTACCGAAAGGTTCCTGCGACCGAGCTGCCGGTCCGATCTGATCCTGGATGTTTGTCTCTTTTCAGGGATCAACTCGTTTCTCCTGCTGATGTCACAAACCGAACTGAACTGTGCGGCTCAGAAAACTGGTGAGTATCAAACTGATCACTGTTCCAATATGTATGCAACACTGATTTTAATCCCTAAAGATGAAATTAATTTGATCTTTTTAATTGTTCTATGATCTGCAGATAAATCTATGAAGACCTGGAACCAATTAATCATTTATAAATGTTGATTTGTTTCCTCTCAACGATCCTTTTCTCTTTCTCTTCTGTTCTGATTCAGGATTTCCTCATATTTCCCCAGAAAGACTTCAGTTCTTTGAGTATGAGACTGTAACTGTACGGTGTGAGAGTTTAGATGGAGTCGATGGATGGAGAGTCATGAGGAAATTCAACAGAGAAAGAACAACTGATGCTTTGGACCCCTGCAGCTCAGCAGAACCTTCCTGCAGGCTGGATCCGGCCATCGAAGTGTCCAGCGGAGAGTACTGGTGTGAAAATAACCAAGGACAAATGACCAATTCTGTTAATATTTCTATTACAGGTATGGCTTGAAATTAATTTCTAGAAAATAGAATAAATAGGAAAAGAACACATTGTGGTATTTTTTTAAAAAACACTTTAACCTTCGTCTGCAACAATTAGGCTAAAAATAAAGTACATTAAATTCTAGTGTAGTACATTTTAATGGATCATCTCAGTGAATATTCATGTGTTTCTCAGCTGGTCTGGTGATCCTGGAGGTTCCAGTCCAACCAGTAGCAGAAGGATCAGACGTGACACTCCGATGTCTCCACCAGGAAACTGAGCAGCATCACTTTAGCGATTTCTATAAAGATGGCCTCCATGTCATGACCTGCTACCGCAGCAACATGACCCTCAGAAACGTCTCCAAGGCCGATGAAGGGAACTACAGGTGCAGCATCTCTGGAGCCGGAGAATCTCCTGACAGCTGGCTGGCCGTTCAGGAAACACTCTCAGGTTGGTGTCACGTTTTAATGAGTCCCCAGTGAAGGTCAGTCTGTCTGTATCTGTTTGTCTGCTAACATTTGAAATGTTTTTTCAGGCTCTGACCCTGTGAATGACCCTGTAAATGACCCTGTAAATGACCCTGTTAAGAGTCATGTGATCCGGTCCAAACGGAGTAAAATCTTCATTCTTCAGACTACAGTGAAGGTTCTGCTTGTGGTCTTGGCGTCTGCAGCGATCGCTCTGATTCACTACAAGACCAAACAACGTGCCAGTAAGATGCTTCATATTTAATCATTTATCCATGTAATCACAATGTTATTCATTAGATTGTAATTTAAAAAGCTGCTGTAAAGAACTTCACAGCTTTTCTTTCAACCCCATTATGTTACTGAACTGATATAAACTATATGATGTGTGTGAATATAACAAATATTCTGATTATAGATCATTTCTAAGACAAAGTGTTTGTTTCCTTCTATCTCCTTTTTTGCACATTGAAGATGTTTTAGTTTATCAAACCAATCTCCTTTTATTGTTCCATCTAAATGATCTCCTTGTCTACAGAGCTTCACATTGTAATGCTCTGTAGCTTCACATGTCACAGTTTGATTCACACATCAAAATCAGTTTCTGATAATATCTTAGATCTATTATCTAAGATATGTTAGAGGAATTAATTTAATTTTATTCTGCTTTATGTTGTCAAATAAATGTCAAATATTTGGCTGATTAATATCACAGATTAGTTATGATCAAAACTGAATCAGACGGATCATAAATTCATTCATAAATAAATTCCTTATCTGAAAATTGTTGCTTTGCTCCTGTTATATTTTATGATTAAACTGTTTGATGCTTTCAGTTTGATTTAAAAAAAAATCATTTTAGGCCAACTTAGCTAAATTTGATGAAGATGCAGTTAATATTTGAATATCTGAAAGTTTCTCCAAATAGAATGAAGACATTTTATTTTATAAGCATAACTTTTTGTTTTAATCTAATCTTCAGGATTAAATTACTTTGTGTCTGAAAAGCAAACAGGAGATTATAAAGGAATTAAAACAGGCTTTACTGAATATTAACTGTTATAACATTTGTAACAATTGTTATAAAAATTATTCATTTTGTCTCAGAGGTAAATTATTAATGTCTGTCTGGAGAAAGATGAACTTTCAGAAAGTGAAACATTTTGATGGTTTTACAGAAACTTATTGCATCATAAAACATCTTTATGACAAACAGCTGGACTGTTTTTTTTTTCTTGCCATTTATTGATTCTCTGGATAAAATATTGAGTCAGTATCTATTGAACAACATAAACTGATCGGTTTCATTTGCTTTAACATTTTGCTCAGTTTTATAATTAGATGTGTGTCTGAAGTTTAGAGGAAAATATTTTTACCTTCTCAGGTTGAAACCACAGTAAGTTGGTCATTATTGTTTATTTAGGTAACTGAGATCATCATGTCTAGAAATAGGACAGAAACGAAGCAGCAGCAGCTGATGGGTTTTATTTTCATGTTTAGAGGCTGAATGAGAGGAAACAGATATGAAGATAATTTGACCTTCATTTGTGTCTCATCAGAGGCAGAGAGGACGGCAGACTGGATCTGATCCATGAAGACAGTCGACTCTGAAACTGGGATTAATTCAACAAACATTGATTAAACTCACAGATACAATTTATAGTCAAAAACATTTCACCACAGAGACAATAGAGTAAAAAAGTGAAATATTTTTACACTCTGCTAACATCAACTCAGTGTTTGTTTTTCCTGCACTAAAAAAGAAACATTATTTATCTCAGTATCTGTTCATTCATTTAAAAAGATCCTTCTCTAGATTTGTTGAGCTGATATTAGTGTGTTTAATGCAGCCTGTCTGTTTCTTTAACCCATTTTTACAGATTTTATTGTTTGAAAACTGAAAAAACTTTTCATTTAAATATTTCAGGTTTTGATTTTTCTGCTGTTAAAAGATTGATCTGCTCTGATGCATCTTCTGACAAAACAGACACATGTTTAGGTTCATAAATCATTTAATTCCATTTTTACACATTTATTGTTTTCCTCACAGATATTTCAAACTGTTCTGCACCAAATTATCTAAATAAACTGTTAATATTCATAGTGACTAAATTCCCTTTTCTTAAGTCAAGTTCTTCTTGGAAGTTGTTAGATCACAGCTTTAAAATCATTCAATGTTTTATTTATTAATAAATCACTTTAAAAACAGAGAAACCTGTTTTTAGACGTACTGTAAAATATTCATAAACACAGATAAAAACATTTACTGTAAAAAAATAGAAAGTCTCTTTATTACTGGGATTCATGTTTTGATGCTCATTAAGGGAAACAAACAGATTTAAAGTAAAGATAAATAAATACAAAACTTTTAGTTTTAAGCATTAAAGCAGAAAATAAACATGTCCTGAAGATACTGATAGCATGAAAAACAGACTGAATTCAGATATTTACATTACAGTTACAATGTTAATATTTGCAGTTAATTTATTGATTCACATCCATTTAAAAATTAATACATGTAAAAATCAAATGACTGAGTTAAACTTTTCTCCATGCAGAGTGTAGCAAACATTTCTGCTGCTTTATTTCTACAAAATGTTTTTTTGCCCTGAATCATGAAAACATTTCCTGAGTCTAATAACTGAAACCTGATCATTTTATTTCCTCACATCGTGTAAAATCAACTGAAGTTGATCTGTTTCTGTCTCTGCAGTTAAATCACATTCATGTTTTCATCACATTCATGTCTTCATTTCTTCAAGTTGTTTTTTTATTTCCTGTACATTTTTCTCTATTTTCTGTTTCATCTCCTTCAGCTTATCAACATCTTTAGATGTTTTATCAATTAGTTTCTCTGTCATCAGTTCCACTTGTTGATGATCTTTCTTGCTCTTATCCAGTTTATCCAGGATCTCTGTCATCATTTCCTTCAGTTTTAAATATCCTTCTGCTTTATACTCCATCTTGTTCCCCGTCTGGTTTCTCTCTTCATCAATAACTTTGTTAAACTTCTTCTCATCCTCATCAATCATTTTCTCTGTCTTCTCTCTTTGATCATTGATTGTTTTTCTCTGATTCTTCAGATCCTCTGACATCATCATTAATAATTCAATCAGCTGATCAATAATTCTCTGATCCTCATTTCTGTATTTTATCTCCTCCTCAAGCTTTGATTTCTTCTCAGACAATTTATCTTTTTCTTTTTTCATGAGCTGCTTTTTCTCATCACTCATTTCCCCTTTCAGTTTCTTCTTTGCTGCAGAAACAAGAAAAAATTATAAGATTCAGGTTTTCTATCAGTTTTCTATCAGTTGAGTTTCTGATTAGTAAAACATGTGGTTCAGAGAAATTCATTTATTCTCTGTCTGTTTTCAATAAATACATGGTTAAATATGGCATCTCATTAACAATAAAACACATTAATAATTAACTCACAGTTTTCAGTTTGTCTCCATTTCCATATAAAACCAGCAGCTCCAATAAAAAGTGTGAAAACCAGAATCACAATGGAGCCGATAGAAACACTGCAGTCAGGCTGAGAAACGAAGAAACCATCTGAAACAGAGTCATGAAGAGTTTCATGTAAAAACAACAATAACTGGACTATTAATGGTTAAATGTTTTATTTTCTACCTGGAACATGAATGTGTGTCTCTCTGCTCTGGTTGATGTCTCTCTGCTGGACTCTGCAGGTAAAGTTGTTGTAGTTTCTCTTCTCTACAGTCACTCTGCTGCTAACGGTGTAAACGCCATCAGGATCGGAGCTTTTCTCTGCAGGTCCAGCAGACATGATGTTTCCGTCTGCGTCCAGCCAGAGCAGCTCAGGTTCTGGATACCAGCCTGCAGCACTGCAGTCCAGCATCACTCCACTGCTGCTCACATCCAGTCCAGATAAACTGACCGCAGGTGAGGAAACGGAGCCTGGTGATCACAGGACAGAGAAGATTATTAAATTTATGCCTTGCAGGATGATGGTTCATAGGCATGAAAACCAATTTAACCTAAACTGAATCCAAATCTAGGAGAAATAGACCAATTATACTTCAAACTTTGTAAACTCTTGTCTCCTTACAGATGGTTGTGTGTTAAAGAATTTCTTTCAGTAATTTTAGCAAATACAACTCTATATTTAGTACAGAGTTGTATTTCACCATTTAGAAATAAAAGGAAAAATACTGCAGGTACCACATTTGGCCAGCAGGAGGCAGAATATAAACTATAACACATTTTACATGTGTAAATAAATCATTAACAGGATTTTAACAGAGTTAGTTATTTGGAGATCAATAATTCTCAAAACATATTAAATATGTTTACTATTCTAACATATATACACTAACTACTGTAAAAAAAATGTTTATTTTAAGCTTAATTGTTAAAAAAAAATACTTTAAAAAGTTTCTTTTTCCTGAATCTGTTTTCTTGCATTCCTTTTGTTTTAGTTTTTAATACATCAAAGTTTGTAACTTTATATTTAGTTTGATTACATCATGTAGAAATAAATCAGATTTATTATCAGTCACTCAGTATTTCAGTAATTTCTAATCTTTACTTTTTAAAAATATTTTGAAGTTGTGCTACTTTTACTTTAAAAACAGACGCTATAAATGATCAGCACATTATTTGCCACATTACCAAGCAAAGAAAGAAGAAATAAAATTGATTTTTGTATTTACTGATTTGTGTTTTCTTACCAACAATCAGGTCAACATAATATTGTTGGATCTCTTTTGGGTTGTAGCATCTGAATCTCCCGTTGTCAGAGTGTTTCACCGCCGTCAGTCTCAACGAAACGTCTCCGTCTTTCAGTCTGTCTGTGAACACAGACGTTCTTCCCTTGTACGCCGCGTTTTTTTCATTGATATTTTCACTCCCTTCAAACCACATGAACACAAATCTGGGGTTCAGGTCCATTCTCCCCCACTCCACCACCAGCTCATCGGGGTCCACAGTGACGCCCAGGTGACACGGCAAAACCACATCATCACCTTCCATGGCTGCAACCAGCCGAGGCCGCGTCGCCTCCAGAGACTCACCTGCAAGGAAAACACAAAAACACAAACTATTAGACTTTACTGGAAGATGTAAAGCTTTATAACTTCTCTGAGATTTTTATTCCAAAGCGTCTCATTTCTTTACAATTCATGAATCAACTCAGCTCTTCATTTAGCAGCGAACAGTAACTATCTTTGTGTCGACAGGCAGGAATGTCTCTGGTGTTTCTCAGTTACCTGTGCAGGTGAATCCCAGGAGCAGGAAGCAAATCATGAGCTCAGCAAACACAAACGCTTTGATCGAAGGTTTTAGAGATAAACTCTGAGGCGCGAGAATCATCCTGAAGACAGAAGGAAACAAAGTTAACGCATTAAGAAGTAAAGTAGAAGAATTTACACTGGAGAAAAGAAAGATCACCTTCCTGAATGCGTCGTCTCCTTTGTTCTTTATGAACTGCAGAGGGCAAAGGTCTCAGATCAACGGCAGTAAAATGAGGCGTGGCCCAGTTCTGATGGAGCAGTCGGATCCGGAAGGGAACAATCAATGAACTACAGAATACAGTTTGTCCACATCTGATGTCCTCTTTCATTTTTATAGTTTTCATTTAGAAGATTAATCTGTCGCAGTTTAAAGCTGTGAAGGTCAAAGGTCAGAACTGCTGGTAGCCACTTGGGCTCTGAGCAAAAATACGACCTCTGTAGTCAACATCTGTCTGCTTTATACATTTTTTCATTATTTGTATCGTAAATCTGCAGAACAGAAAGTTTCATGTTATTTTACACAAACAGACTTAAATTCTGCTCAAAGTAAATAATTTGTGATTTGAAATTTGATCCTTTTATGTCTTTGTAGCTTTTCTGTTGATGTAATTTAATCTTCTTCCAAACTGCTCTGCAGCGCTCCCTGGGCTGAGATGGGCCAAACTGTGAATCATCTGATCTGATGCTGGATATGTTGGTGAATTGATTAGAAACAAGTTTCCTGAAAGTCTCTCCTAAAGAGGCCAACAGGATTATAAAGGTATTTGAATAAAACTCCATATTTTATGTTAATTGCTCATTTTAATGATGTCACTAATGTGATGCATGTTGCTGGTTAGTGACAGCCATTGGTATTTACTCCAGTATCAGACTCTGGTCTTCCTCTGCTGCAGGCCTTTATCTCCACCATGACTGGTTCAACTTCCTGTCTCTGCTGCTGCAGCTGCAGCTGCTGCTGCTGCTGCAGCAGCAGCTGCTCTCCACATTACATGCTGGAAACGTATTCATAAAACCTCAGACAGATGTGAACGTCGATCAATAGTGTTGATTCTTCTCAAAAACCACCAGAGACAAAATGTTTGAGTATTTTATGTTCTGAATGTTATATAAGTAAACATTTTGCAGGGTTGTGCATTAACTGTTCACTGACTGAATCTGACTGCAGAGAGGAAAACAGTCAATCATTTCATGCAAACGTCTGTGGAGCAACGGAGTCGATTTCTGTTGCATTTCACTGACAGTCTGCAGAACTCGCAGTGTTTTAAAAGGTGCAGCACAGAGTCAGTTATTTCTAGAAATACTTCTTCAACCTGCAGTTTATGAAGCCCAGAAATAAAGCAGACAGGAAGAGGAAGTCCTGGCCAGCGTGATCACAATGCGTCGGTGTGAAGAACTTCACTCCAGTAACGGTGAGCATCATGGAGGTCACATGTCTCTGCTTCTGTAAGTATGATGATAAATAAGCAGCTGCTATCTGAGCTGATGTCAGATATTCATTTAATTTAATGTGTTTGCAGTGATGAACATGTTTGTTCTGCTGTCTGAACAAACTGAACAGGCTGAAAGAGCTGGTGAGCATCACAAATATTATTACAAAAAGTTCAATTTAAGCTGTGTTTAGTTTTACTTATTGATCAAATAGATTGGAAATGAATCTGATCAGTTCAGCTGTTTTTATAATAGTTGGTGTTGAGCATTATCTTTCTTTTCTCTGTTTTGTTTCCACTCAGATGGAGCTTTTCCGTACATTTTTCCAAGGAGGCTTCAGTTCTTTGAGTACGAGTCGTTCACTGTTCAGTGTGAGCTGATGGATGATGCTGACGTCTGGAGAGTAATGAGGGAGTTTAACAAATCCAGACCAGCAAACTCTTCAGAGCCCTGCAGCTCACCAGCTCCGTCCTGCACCGTTAAACCGGCTCTGGAGAAACACAGCGGGGAGTACTGGTGTGAAAACGGCCTGGGGGAGAAGAGCCGGGCGCTCAGCGTCTCTATCACAGGTAAATAATCCAGAAGAAAACTGGAATGAAGAAGAACATGAAATCTATTCATACTAAACTAATAACGGGAAATTAATGCAGAGCGTAGAGCTACTTCAAAATCTGTCTTACATGCTCTTATATATGTTAAATTATTTTTATATAATTTTTTGGCATTACAAATAAATAATTTGCATCTGAACAGATTGTTGTCATAAAAGTTTGATTGACTTTGTTAATCAAAACTGCATTCAGGATCAAAATGGACAAATCACATTGATGTATAAGTAATAATTGTGTACATGACTTGTGTCAAAGAGCTGGGGTATTTGTGTGTGTGTGTGCGTGTGTGTGTGTGTGTGCGTGTGTGTGTGTGTGTGTGCGTGTGTGTGTGTGTGTGTGTGTGTGTGTGTGTGTGTGTGTGTGTGTGTGTGTGCGTGTGTGGGTGTGTGTGTGAGAGAGTGTGTGTGTAGAAATAAGTGTGTTTAATGGGTGCATGTCACTCAGGGTAACAGATTGGTACAAAAACAGGAGAAACCTGTATTACCCTCATGCCTGCAAAGTCCAACATCCACATGTCATGATCCGACTGATGCATGTTTTTATCTTTTCTAAATAAATGATATTTGTTTCTCAGCTGGTCTGGTGATCCTGGAGGTTCCGGTCCAACCAGTAGCAGAAGGATCAGACGTGACACTCCGATGTATCCACCTGAAAACTGAGCAGCATCACATCAGAGATTTCTATAAAGATGGCCTCCATGTCATGACCTGCTACAGCAGCAACATGACCCTCAGAAACGTCTCCAAGGCCGATGAAGGGAACTACAGGTGCAGCATCTCTGGAGCCGGAGAATCTCCTGACAGCTGGCTGGCCGTTCAGGAAACACTCTCAGGTTGGTTGACTTGTCCTGTTTGTCTCTACCCTTTATATTTATATATTAACTTATATAAAATCAACTTTTCAGGACCAACTGCAGAAACTCCTGTTCAGAGTGAGCAGAACAAAACCTTCAGTCTGGAGTCGGCAGCTAGAGTCGTGTTGTTCACCCTGTTGTCTCTGGTCACTGTACTGATTCTCTACAAGCTGCGAAAAGGTGATAAAATCTTTAGTTACTTATTGACAGCATGTCTAATTATGCTGATCTCTTAAGAAGTTTTATTTTTCTTCTGCATAATTTCATTCAATAACTTGATACACTCAAACTACAAATGAATTTGGAGTTTTAAATAGTATAAATTTAAACATTTAGTTCAGGTTGTGGTAATTTGGTTTTGTGTTTAATTTTAAAAGCCGTTTACTAAACTATCTTCAGATATCTGTGAAGCGCAGAGGGGAGAATTTTTAACGTCTCAGTTTAAAACCTCAAACTAAAACCACAGGCTTCAGCAGAACAACCTGCTGTTTATTTTATTCATCATTATGATCAGAAATACACGCTGCAGCTGCAGCAGCTTCTGCATCAGGTTCACCTCGACAATATGAACATTATTTATTTAAAAACTGCAGAGAGACTAAATAAGTCAATATGAAACTTCAGTCAGCAACATGAATCCTCCACACAGAGAAAACTGTAGAGTGAGACTCAGTGAGAGCAAATGAATTTTGACTGGTTGTTTTGTTTCCCATCAGAACCAGAATGGACCAGAATCGCCACCGGTCCAGTTCTGTCAGAGGAGGAAACGCATCACACAAACAGGAAATGAACCGACAGCTTTTACTTCTGAGAGCAAAATATGATCATAACCCGTCAGGAATCTTTGCTAAAAATGTTCATAAATTTAAATAGTTTCTTTTTTTTTTGGCAACTCCATTTCATTTAGAATAAAAATTGATTAAATTTATTAAAAAATTTATTCTCAGTAAAATTCTTTATTTTACATACAGTCTATTATATTTTTCATAACTTGACCAGGTTTTCTTTAACTCATGTTTGGATATTAAATACATTTTTAATCTTTGACCTTTAAAGGTGTAACTGAAATATAAACAGTCAGCTGCAAATTTATTATCACATTTTCTCACTTGTATTTCATATTGTGCATGAAAACATTTTGGTTTTATGTTCAGTATTGTCCATTAACATTTGGACCTGTTATTTTTAACCAGTAATGAACTGGATGAGATTTTGTCTCTGCAGCCATATTGTTGTTTATTGTTGTTGTTGTTGTTGTTTTCACAAAGTGTTCAGGTCAAATAAAACATCAAACTGTAGGAGTTTATATTTTATTCACTGAGATTATAACATGTTTTTCTTTATTTTAACATGATTGTCATTATGACCATCAGTTAGTTTGAATATTCTAAATATATCTGACAATATTAAGAGATTTTGGATGAATTACATGTTTTTGCAGTTATTTATTTGTAGATGAGAAAAATTCAATATGAGAAATTTTAAGCCTTTTATTTTGGTTTGATTGATCTTAATGTTCCTGATGAACTTAATAAATGTCACTTTAAAAAAAGACATTGGTAAATACATGAAAGATAAAAGAAATACAAAAAGCTCGTAAAAACATAATTCATATTAGTAAAAAAAAGGAAATGGTAGCTATTTTTACATCTTGTACATTAATTAATGCTTTATTAGCTTCTACAGTGGAAATCTTTACTGGTCAACATATAGATACATTAGAGGTCAGTTAAACTAAATTAATTATATAATCTCTCACTTTGTCCTGAAACTGAACAAGAAGCTTAGCGTACAGAAAACAGAAAAAACAACAAACATCACAAGCTTTGAATTTTTTATAATATGTTCTAATTTAATTCCAAAGGTTTCTAAACATCATGAGAAGAAAACTTTGTATCTGAGAAAATATTTTCATCTTATATTTCTACTCAGAAAAAAACTTTAATTAAAAATCAGCAAATCTGCTGAATTGAAACTCGACGTATTTTCTGACAGAAATCAACTGAAGTTGATCAGTTTCTGTCTCTGCAGTTAAATCACATTCATGTTTTCATTTCTTCAAGTTGTTTTTTTATTTCCTGTACATTTTTCTCTATTTCCTGTTTCCTCTCCTTCAGCTTATCAACATCTTTAAATGTTTTATCTATTAGTTTCTCTGTCATCAGTTCCACTTGTTGATGATCTTTCTTGCTCTTTTCCAGTTTATCCAGGATCTCTGTCATCATTTCCTTCAGTTTTAAATATCCTTCTGCTTTATACTTCATCTTGTTCCCCGTCTGGTTTCTCTCTTCATCAATAACTGTGTTAAATTTCTTCTCATCCTCATCAGTCATTCTCACTGTCTTCTCTCTTTGATCATTGATTGTTTTTCTCTGATTCTTCAGATCCTCTGACATCATCATTAATAATTCAATCAGCTGATCAATAATTTTCTGATCCTCATTTCTGTATTTTATCTCCTCCTCAAGCTTTTTCTCTTTTTCTTTTTTCTCCTCATTCATTTCCCATTTCAGTTTCTTCTTTACTGCAGAAACAAGAAAAAATCATAAGATTCAGGTTTTCTATCAGTTTTCTATCAGTTGAGTTTCTGATTAGTAAAACATGTGGTTCAGAGAAATTCATTTATTCTGGGTCTGTTTTCAATAAATACATGGTTAAATATGGCATCTCATTAACAATAAAACACATTAATAATTAACTCACAGTTTTCAGTTTGTCTCCATTTCCAGGTAAAACCAGCAGCTCCAATAATAATTATGATTCCCAGAATCACAGCAAAAATGTCAAAAACACTGCAGTCAGGCTGAGACACGAAGAAACCATCTGAAACAGAGTCATGAAGAGTTTCATGTAAAAACAACAATATCTGCAGTATTAGTGGTTCAAATGTTTTATTTTCTACCTGGAACATGAATGTGTGTCTCTCTGCTCTGGTTGATGTCTCTCTGCTGGACTCTGCAGGTAAAGTTGTTGTAGTTTCTCTTCTCTACAGTCACTCTGCTGCTAACGGTGTAAACGCCATCAGGATCGGAGCTTTTCTCTGCAGGTCCAGCAGACATGATGTTTCCGTCTGCGTCCAGCCAGAGCAGCTCAGGTTCTGGATACCAGCCTGCAGCGCTGCAGTCCAGCATCACTCCACTGCTGCTCACATCCAGTCCAGATAAACTGACCGCAGGTGAGGAGACGGAGCCTGGTGATCACAGGACAGGGAAGAACTGAAGAATCGCATCGTTTAGCAGTTATACTGTCATAATCAGCTGGTAGATAAAAAGTACATTTAAACTGAAGAGGCAGAATAAACTCCATATTTTAAATGCATGTTTTTCTTTTTTAAGTGTGAAATATTTATTAACAGTTTGTCCAGAAAGTTACATTGAAGGAGATTTTTTTTATTTAATGTTAAATTTACTCTATTATTTCATCCCATGTTGCTTTTAAATGTAACAATCCGACTATTTTAACTGTTTTAAACTTCAAAATGTTTTAATTATGTTAAAATACTTTTCAATAATTATGTCTTGAATCAATAATTTTAAATAAACTTGGTATTGATAACCTTACAGCTGCACACAGCACAGATCTTTCAAACATTACAGATTATAATACACAATCTGAGTTAAAATGTTAAATTGTTTTTACTTTAAGTTTATAGGAACACATTTCCAGTGAGTTTTATTCAAAATCAGATAATTAAACTTGTCTATAAAAATTCTTTCAACTTGCTGATTTTGGAACATGATGTAAAAACTTTGACAAGACTGATGTTAGTTTTTTAGTTAAAATGTCTTTGTGATTATTCCTTTGGTAAAGTTTAACATGAAGAAATGCTTCTTAATTGTATGTTGTAAGTTATTTTCTTTTCTTACCAACAACAAGCTCAACAAAATATTCTTTCTTCTCTTTCGGTAAGTAGCATCTGTATTTTCCATTGTCAGATATTCTGACATCAGAGAGTTTCAGTGAAATGTCTCCATTTTTCAGATTTTCAGGAAACATTGACGATCTTCCCCTGTAGGCTTCGTTTTGTTCGTCTGCATATTCTTCACCATCGAGATTCACAAACACAAATCTGGGTTTCAGGTCGGGTCTTCCCCACTCCACTGTCATCTTAGTCGCATCTTTAGGAGGATTCAGGAAAAGCGGCAGAACCGCGACCTCACCGGCCGTTACTGTGACCGAATCCGTCTGCTGTGACTCACCTGAAAATGACACAAGATGAGAAATTTCACATCTAGTGTCAAGTTGTCCTCAAACCAGCAGAACAAAAATCACCTTGTGTTGGTTCATGTTCCCAATGTCTCAAGGCTTGTTTTGGAGGCACTTTGCTGCTCTCTAGTGGTTGCAGTTAGTATCACTAGCATAATACTTTAAACTAAATCTAAACATATTCCAGTAAATTTGTGCAGATTTTACCTTTGCAGGTGAACAGGAGGAGCAGGAAGCCAATCACAGCAAAGACGGAGAGATGATTCAAAGAAAACATCTTTTGGTTATGATCCAACCTGTAAATTTAATATGAAAGCACAGAGCATATGGTTTTCAATTAGTTTAGTGTTAAATGGTCTTAATATTTTTAAAAAAATGACATGGCGACTATATAAAGAGATATTGTTTTACATCGCACATGTTCTTTAGCAGTCAACCCTAACCCTGACCCTAACCCTGACCCCTAGTCATGATTGATTTCAACTAGAACTAGCATTTTATTTCTAAATGTCCATGTTTTTGAACAGTGAATAAGAAAACAACTCTTCAAATTAAGACATAGAGGTACATGCAAACTTCCACTTTAAAGGAAGAGATTAAATAAATGTTTATTAGCAGTAAAGAAATCCTTACCAACATACAAAAGCTCCCAAAGGTACTCAACACAAAACATAAAGTCTTTACTTTTTTCTAAATATAAAATGCTCCTTCAAGTTTCAATGAATAGTTAAAACATTAGAAAATTATCAGTAATATTTTAACACCAACAAAATAATTGTGGCAGGGCTAAAAAAACCCCCCCAAAAATGTCATTTTATACAGGAGAGAAAACGTAACACGCTGGATCTACATTTTGATGAAGATAAATCTGCAGCAGATAAACAATCATCATCATCAGAACCTGAACCGTCAAGTTACAAGATCCAAAGACAAACATTTAAATTTAAAGTCATACTTGTTAAATCTTTTACATTTAATTGTTTAAAGCATTAAAAATATTTTAGTTTTCTCATTGTTATATTTCAAAAGAAACTCATAAGCTAACGATCAATTTGACTAACCATGACTTTCAATAACCTGAACAATTATAAAATATTTCAGACTAGATTAATAACTTAAAGAGATAAATTGAGCAACAGAAAGTTAGAAGCTTTCGGTACAAACCGCTCTGCAGAGACACACTTATGATCAAACCAGGTTCAGAATAACAGGAACAGAGATTCTGGGTCAAAGTCCAGGAACAACTGTAATAAAATAAGGCAAGTTCAGTTTTATTGGTTGTAACGTTTGCAGAGATTTATCATAAACATAAAAGGTTTTCTGTTTGGTTAAAGACTTTTAACAGGAACTTTTAACAGAGGCCCAAATAAATTTGTTTCTGAAATGATAGAAAATCTTTTTCTAGATATTCAAATTTATTCATCTAAAATAAATTGAATTTCATCACTTTAACCCAAAAACAAGAGTTTGAATAAATTAGTGAGATGCCCAGAAGCAATAAGAGGGTATGTAAACTTCTGACTCCAGGTGTTGCAACATAGAGATGAATTTCCCAAAATTAATATCTGTGAATGTTAAAGGAAGAAAAGAGTCAATAACCACATTTTTGATCATTTTATTTTGGTAATAAATCAAAGATCTTTTTAACACAAGTTTGTGAAATAAAATTATAACAGGGTTAGGGTTAGGTTAGGGTTAGGGTTAGGGATCAGAATCAGAATCAGTGTTTGTACAGAATAACATGTTTCAGTAGAGCCTATCAAAAGAACAAAAACAACATGAGACACGAGGATACAGGTGCACTTTCATTAGAGAAAAAATAATAACATGAAGGTCAGAAAATCATGTCTTGCACTGTCCCTACCAGAAACTGTATCGAGTTACAGAGAAACTCTTCATATACAATGTTGACAACATAAAGACACAAAATGTTAGAGGCTCCAGGTCTGCAGTCCAGACACTTTGCTCATCCAGGGAGGAGTTGTTGTAGTTCTGCATGTTATGCATGTGTGAATCTGTAAATACATCTGTGAACACCGTCCCAGTCGCTGTATGTTACCTCAACATACAGTCTGGTAACACTATATGTTACCTCAACACTGTATGCTGTGGTAACATACAGACCAATAGGAGAGGCTTTTTCCTCTCCAATGGTTCCATAGAAAACAGTCAGCAGGTTCAGACTTTACCTTTCAGCTACTGGACACCTGCTGGTTTTCTGATCTGTAAAACTAAATTGAATTTTCACTCAACTCTTTCTGGTTCAGTTTCTTCCTGTCATCTGCATCTCATTTCACGTTTCTGTTCTCATCTCTATGGGTTCCAGAGCTTTCTCTATGTTCAGTAACTGTCTTTCAATACTTTTCTTTGTCTCATCTAATTTCCACTGGGTCTGTAGCAGTTTTTCTTTTTCCTTTAACAATGACTCCATGTCATCAGAACTTTTCACGTTTGTTAATTTGGTTTCTACTGACTGAACTTCTTCTTTGTTTTTCTTCCTGTCAGACTCGACTTTTCTGAGTTGTTCTACCAGATGATGTTTCTGGTTCTCCAGTTCAGTTTTTACTTTATTCAGGGTGGAAAGAAGTAATTCTCTCTCATCCTGTCTTCCCCCTCCACGTTGGTGTGTGGACTGCTTTGACTCGATCCCTGCATGTAAAGGGAATAGCTTAATAACACATGAATAACATTTATTTATCATCATCTCTGCTCACTTACTGGTTGTCTCATTTTCAGTCTCATTTTCAGTCTCAATTTCAGTATCTTGTTTATTTCTTCTGCTCGAGTTGCTGATGGTGGGAAGAAGCGGCTCTTCCTCATCACATCCTTGCTCAACATCTTGATGCCTCGACTTCTTACCTACCATGGAAAAAATAACATCATCACATAATGCAATACTTTGAAAATCTATACTGTTTAAAATTTAAATAATTTAAAATATTTTGCATATAGTCGTAGCAAAAAGAATTCATGTTTACTGCAAAATATTTGGCAGATTCTCAGTAACTGTAACTTACATACATGGATGTACTTGAAGACAAAGGACAATAAAACCCCAATAACCAGTCCAACAGCGCCGCCGATCAGGGCCCATTGCAGAGAGTCCATTTCAAGAGTAGAACTTAAACTGATGAACAGTAAATAAGTTTCTTTTTAACATGTTATATAAACATATATTCATAGTTACATCTCTGTATTAAAAACTTATTCAGAATGTAAAATCAACCTAAAAACTAAAAAGCTGAAGTTTAGACAAGTTTTAATGTGTGTTGCAGTTTTAATGTTATTTTTTTATGTTGCAGAATCCAAAAAGCAGGAGGAGGCAGAATCCTGCATAATTACAGAGAAATAAAGAAACTCATCAGCAGAACAACTGGAGACAGCAGGAAATAGGAAATGCAACAAAATGTAGCAGGATGATCTGATTCTGGAGAGGAGAAAACCAGGAAGTAGAAATATTATCATACGAAAAACAGGTGTTATGTTCCAGATGCGAAAAAAACAAACAGAAAGTTTTACAACAGAAAACAATATCTATGTTCAAAAAAAAAAGATTTCACACACAAAAAAATAAACAAATGGATCACATGAAGCTTTGCTCTGATTAACTGACATAAAGTAGAAAAACAAAATAAATTTAGGCATTACCTAATTGTTTAAATATTCTAAAAGCAAACCTTTTGAGTTCACGACGAAGCCGCTTCAGTTCAGCTCAACGAAGACGAATGAGCAACAGGATCAAAGTCCTGCAATAAACTAAATGCTTTCAGTCTTGTGACCTGAAAATAAATCAAGTTTATTAGTACAGAACATTTCAGCAACAACACAGTTCAAAGTGCTTCACATCATAAAAACACAAAAATATATAAATGATTTAAATGATAAAAAAAAAGCCCTTATGTATGTATATGTGGTTGTGTATCTGTGCACACTAACATATTCATTTTGAGTTTACAAAATTAGTATTTGTCTCCTTTGCTAGGGTGTGTGTGTGTGTGTGTGTGTGTGTGTGTGTGTGTGTGTGTGTGTGTGTGTGTGTGCGTGTGTGCGTGTGTGTGTGTGTGTGTGTGTGTGTGGGGTGTGTGTGTGTGGCATTGAAGAAAAAAAAAAAAGTTTTTTTACTAACAGTTGGAAGAGAGGAGATTTATTTGAAAATGTTCAAAACTTTATAGAAAAAGTTATTTTTTGATAAATTTTACTTTTTAATATTCCTTAGATAAGTAAAACATGACACTGGTGGTGCATCTTCTGCCTCTTTAATCAATTTCATATTTACAATATTTTTCTGAATTCCCAACTATTTTAGTCCTGCAATTTGTTCTATCATTCAAAAAAAAAAAATATTTTCATTCATTAAATGCAAGAACCAAATTTCTGTGGAAATCAAATTAAATCACATAAAATATGACATGTATTCTAAAGAAAGATCATCACAAACACTGAAAATTATTTTTAACGTTAAAAAACGTCTTTAAAAATATGCAAACAAATTACTAAACAGCTTAATAAGCATCTGACATGATCAATAACCTGAGCTGGTGATATGAGCTTTACAATTATACATTTGATGTTAAAACCTTTATTTACATTTGACATTTTTAACAAAATAATATTATTGATTCAGTCTTCATGCAGTTGTTTTATTGTCTATGTTGCTTCAGTTCATTTCATCTTGAATAGTTTTGGTTCCTGGTTAAATATTCTGGTTGTTGCTGTTTTCATTTCATTAGAATCAGATCATAAATTGTAAAATAATAAAAGCCTTTTTGAAGCAGACAGTGGGTCTGAGAGAAGATTTAAAATGTTGCTGAAACACTAAAGAGAAGCAGAACCAATAATAATCAAGTTTCAATAAATCTTGCTGATCAGTCACTTCACAATAGTTTTTTAGTGCTTTGTTCTGTTTTAGACACATTTTCTTGATATTTTCTAAACATTCTTGTTTTTCTCCATTGTTCTCATCATATGTATCTCTATAGGTTCCAAAGCTTTCTCTATGGTCAGTATCTGTCTTTCATAAAGTTTCTTCTCCTCATCCAGTTTCCACTGGGACTTTAACAGTTTTTCTTTTTCTCCTAATAAAACATCATCATCATCATCATCATCATCATCAGAGTTTTTCCTCTCAGTTATTTTTTTATCCACTCTCTGAACTTCCTCTTTGTTTTCCTTCCTCTTAGTCTCAACGTCTTTGAGTTTTTGCAGCAGCTGATCTTTCTGCTTCTCCAGTTCAGTCTTGACTTTGTTCTGCAGCTTCTGGTTCTCCTCTGTTGAAGGAAATAAAGATATAAAATCTAAAAGACACTCAGAATATGATCAGGATATCTACATACTGCAGTCAGTTTTCTGAAGATTTAGCGTTCACCTAAAGTTTTTTGAAAACGTAAGATGAGTTATTTTACGATTTGTCTAGTCTGAATTATTCTTCTCTGACTATTTTATAAAAAATGAGGAAAATCAAATGTAGTTCTGCTGAATCATCAAAAAAAATATTACAATCACAGAATCTGTCTTTTGTGAGTAAATTATCTGTAACATTAAATATTTAAACCTGAGATTAGAAGAAAATGAAAATTTATAATGAAATATAAATTTAAACACTAAACTCCACCTCGACTTTGTTCTTTTCCTCCAATCTTTATACATTTGGTCAAATCAAACTGAATTACATCAATATTTTTATTCAGGATGAAAATATTTAACGTTGACAAGAAAATGGAAAATATCACTTCATAATTATGTTATTGAAAGATTAGAAGATAAACACATGAACATCAACTATAAAGTGTTAGAAAAGCAAACATTAAAAATCTTAAATAAAATAATCAATAATAAGCCTGGCGGGGGAACAGGTAAAGCCCCACCTGGTGGCCCGCCAGGCTTATAATACTTTACCTTTTTCCTTTTCCAGTTCTTCTTTGCATTCTTCAAGATCCTTTTTCCACTTATTGATTTCCTTGTATATTTCACAAAGTGTGAACTTTAACTGATTCTCTCTCTGTTCTTGTTCTTTCATTTGTTCGATCAGTTTATTGATCTCGTCTGTTTGGGAAACAAAACATACAAACTTCCAACCTCAATTTTTTGATTACTAGAATATATACAGTCATTTGTTCATGGTGATTATTATTATTATTATTATTATTATTATTATTATTATTATTCATCCAGTCTAAAAATGAGGCAGAACAAATTTTGTCCTTTCGCTGAATCATCAATAAACTGTTACAATCCCAGATTCTGTATTTTGTAACTAATTCATCCATAACTAAATATTTAAACTTTTTGTCTAAGGTTACCTTTTGCCTTTTCCAGTTCTTCTTTGCTTGTTTTCAGTTCATCTTCTCGTTCACCAACTCTGGTCTTTAACTGATTCTCTTTCTCTTCTTGTTCTTTCATTTGTTCGGTCAGTTTATTGATTTTGTCTGTTTGGGAAACAAAACATACAAACTTCCAACCTCAATTCTTTGATTACAAGAATATCTACAGTCATTTGTTCATGGTGATGATGATGATGATGATGATGATGATGATGATGATGATATTACTAATATTATTATTATTATAATTATTATTATTATTATTATTATTATTATTATTATTATTCATCCAGTCTAAAAATGAGGCAGAACAAATTTTGTCCTTTCGCTGAATCATCAATAAACTGTTACAATCTCAGATTCTGTATTTTGTAACTCATACATCCATAACTAAATATTTAAACTTTTTCTCTGAGGTTACCTTTTGCCTTTTCCAGTTCTTCTTTGCATTCTTCATGTTCCTTTTTCCACTTATTGATTTCTTTCTCTCTTTCACCAAGTGTGAACTTTAACTGATTCTCTTTCTGTTCTTGTTGTTTCATTTGTTCGGTCAGTTTATTGATCTCGTCTGTTTGGGAAACAAAACATAATGAATTACGTTTAGCAGAAGCAATATTTTATAATTAATGTTCAAAGTATGAAAACAGAGTGTCAATAAAGACGTGTTAGCTTGGAGGAAAATGAAATTGTAAAATAAAATCTATATTTAGACCCAAACAAATGTTATAACTGATCTCTTTTATCATTGATTTGTTTTATTCTCAATTTAATACTTTTGTTCTGAGTAACATCAAGTTAAATTGTCTCTTCTGTTCGTAACTCTGATAATCTGAATATCTTCAAACTCCAGTCGTTTGTTTTTGTTCAGTTGCTGTTTTCTGATGATTTTCTTTCTTAGCCTAAATTCTTTCATTGTGCATTAAATGTCCTCTATATTGGTTGAAAGGTTCTCTAATAAACATTCAAAATGTAACTGATTTCATGGAGCTCTGTGTCCAATATTTTAATGTTTATCTCAGATTTCCAGTTTTATTTTGTTTCCTTTGAGTTTACCTCTTTCATTTCTCAGTGTGGAGATGAAATCTTTCTCTTTCTTTTCTTGTTCTTCTATTTTCTCTGTCAGGCTAAAATTCTTTACTGTGTTGGAAACAAAAGATACAAATGCAAAAATACAATTTAAATAAAATATTGTGATCTAAGTTTCAGAAAATAATCATATGCTGAGATTGGAGGAGTATAAGAAAGAATTCCTTATACTGTTCTCTAAATGTATAAGGAAGAATGTATAATCCTTCCTTATACATTTGGTCAAATCAAACTGATTTTTGGTCAAATCAAACTGATTTTATTCTGGATTAAAATATTTAACATTGACAAGAAATTAGAAAATATCACATGATAATTATGTTTTATTGAAAGATTAGAAGATAAACACTTGAACATCAACTATAAAGTGTTAGCAATGCAAACATTTAAAAAATCTTAAATAAAATAATCAATAATAAGCCTTGCAGGGGGAAAGGTAAAGCCCCACCTGGTGGCCCGCCAGGCTTATGATACACTGAGAAAAACCTGCAAATCATTAATAAACTGTTAAAATCCCAGATTCTGTATTTTGTAACTAATTCATCCATAACTCAATATTTAAACTTTTTGTCTGAGTTTACCTTTTTCCTTTTCCAGTTCATCTTTCCATTCTTCAAGATCCTTTTTCCACTTATTGATTTTCTTTTCTATTTCACCAAGTGTGAACTTTAACTGATTCTCTTTCTGTTCTTGTTGTTTCATTTGTTCGGTCAGTTTATTGATCTCGTCTGTTTGGGAAACAAAACATAATGAATTACGTTTAGCAGAAGCAATATTTTATAATTAATGTTCAAAATATTATTAAAACTGAGTGTAAATAAAGACATGTTAGTCTGGAGGAAAACCTAAATTCTACATAATATTCATCATTTTCTATTTTATTGTCCATTAAATGTCCTGGACATCAGTTCAATGTCTGTCACAAATTAGTTTCCAACCTAAAATATTCTGATTTCATGGAGCTCTGTGTCCAATATTTTAATGTTCATCTCAGATTTCCAGTTTGATTTTGTTTCCTTTGAGTTTAACTCTTTCATTTCTCAGTCTGGAGATGAAATCTTTCTCTTTCTTTTCTTGTTCTTCTATTTTCTCTGTCAGGCTAAAATGGTAAAATTGTTTTCTGTGTTGGAAACAAAAGATACAAACGTAAAAATACAATTTAAATAAAATATTGTTATCAAATGTTCAGAAATTTATCATAACCTGAGTTTCGAGGAGTGAAAATTTATAATGAAATATAAATTTAAACCCTAAACTCCACCACAACTTTGTTATTTTCCTCTAATCCTTTTACATTTGGTCAAATCAAACTGAATTACATCAGTATTTTTATTCCTGATGAAAATATTTAATGTTGACAAGAAATTAGAAAATATCACTTGATAATTATGTTTTACAGAAAGATTAGAAGATAAACACCTGAACATCAACTATAAAGTGTTAGAAATGCAAACATTTAAAAAATCTTAAATAAAATAAGCCTGGCGGGGGAAAAGGTAAAGCCCCACCTGGTGGCCTGCCAGGCTTATGATACACTGAGGAAAACCTGCAAATCATTAATAAACTGTTACAATCCCAGATTCTGTATTTTGTAACTCATTCATCCATAACTAAATATTGTCGTGCTTTTTGATTTCCTTTGTTAAGGAGGCGTGTCGGCACTTGAAGATACACGACAAAAAACGAAGAGTCTCTTGCAGAAACTTTATCCTTCAGCACACGGAGGAATTACAACAAAAACTGAGCTGTTGCCACAATGAACTGTGTGGCTTCTGGCCTCTAGCTCTGGCACGGACAGCGTTCAGCGATGTCCGGGCAGCGAGCGGTGAGCGCCATATCCAACAACAGTCAAAACATAACGGATCAGCTGTTAGAACTGGTTGCTAAGGCAACCCCAGCTGTCAAGAACAGAATAAACAGACTTAAAACAACAAATCTCGCGGTGCGACCTTCCTTACAATATCCCCCCTTTAGGAATACTGAGTCCCTTCAGTACAGCTTATACAGCCAAAATTTAGAAAAAAGTAGTAGTTATAAGAACTTAACTACTGAAACATGTGTGCCATAAGGGCAAGAAAACAGAACTAAGTTATTTAAATTATCTAATTGTAACATTCAATTAACTCTCTAAATTAACTAGTGCCTAAATCTCTGTGGTCTTTTGACTAAACGACCACTGGCTGTTTTAACAGTCTTTTCAGACGCGTGTGAATCCCCCAGTCGTCCATCTGGATGGCATCCTGGGTCCTTGGGATGGAGGTCTTCATCCTGATCATCTGACAGCGGTAGCAGAGGAACCAGGGGGACATCCTCTTCTTTTGGTTGGAATTCTTGGTCTTGGCAATTTTGCAGCAGCCTGTTTCTTTGGCGTAAAACCCAGACTGGTATCACATCACTGTCATATGGCTTGAGCCGATCATGGTGCATCACTGTGCTGCGTTTGGGGCCCTGTATTTCATACAGCACAGGACCACGGCAAGCTGCAATAATTAATGGGCCTTTCCATTGTTTCTGAAGTTTAGGGCTTAACCCTTTCTTCTTTGCATCATCTTTGACAAACACCAGGTCTCCTACACTGTAGAAGTGTTCTTTGGCCCGCAGGTCATGCACCCTTTTCTGCCGCTCTTGTGCAGTACGAAGATGGACTCTTGCCAGGTCTTGTGCTTCTTTTAAGCTTTCTTCCAGGTTGTAGAGGAAATCTCCAGCTTGTAGTGCATCAACCTTGAGTTTTGCAGTGCCAGACTGGATGTCTTGTGGTTGGTGGACTTCCCTGCCAAGCATAAGCCTATTGGGTGTGAACCCTGTCACTGTGTGTCGTGAGCTGCGATAAGCTGCTGTGAGTAGTGGCAGTTGTTCGTCCCAGTTCTTTTGGTCCTGATTCACATAACATCGAAGCATCTGTAATAAGGTCCTGTTGAAACGTTCTACTTGTCCATTGGAGGAGGGTGGTAAGGGGTAGTTCTGGTCTTAGTGATTTGCAGGAGCTTGCAGACATTCTGAAACAGACAGCTATCAAAATTACGACCTTGATCTGTGTGTAGCTCGAGTGGAGCTCCAAACCTGGCAATGAAGTCGTAGACTAGCTTCCTTGCAGTTGTTTCAGCACTTTGATCAGGAACAGAAAAAGCTTCAACCCATCTTGTGAACTGGTCAATAATAACAAGAATGTATTTTGTTCCCAGTGCTGAACATGGGGAATGGCCCAAGATATCAAGATGTAGGCGGTCCAGTGGTGCTCCAACTTGGTAGCTTTGCAGTTTTGCTCTCTTTGCCGGACCTGTGACCTTGCATGCACTACAATGTGGGCATCTCTTGACAAACAGGTGAACATCTCCACCCATGCCAAACCAATGGTAGCTCTGACGCACACGCTCCAGGGTTTTGGCTTCTCCTAGATGGCCAGAGTATAGGGTTATGGCATGATTCCAAGACTTCCTTCTGCATGGACGAGGGAACAAATAACAGCAAGTTTGGACGCTGATCTCCAATTCTCTCCCAGGAGTAATAGAGCACTCCTTGCCTCAGTGTGACTTGAGGCCAACAGAGCCAGAACTTCCTCACTGCAGGGCTCTCCAGCGCCACTTCATCTTTGTAGGGAGTGTCCCTGTTTCTTTCCATTTGTGAAGAACAGCGAGAACAGGATCTGCTTTCTGGAGTGTTGACAGTTGCTCAGGACTAAGGGATTCAAGCCAATTGACTTCCGGCCCTCTGGTAGGGACACATGTCTGATCCCCTAATGTGTGCGATTCATTAATGGTGCTGCTTCTGGGCTGGATGCACCTTACGGCTAAAGGCACAACATCATCCACGTCATCTTCAAACTTGGCCCACTGGATGTGAATTTTTTGGCAGTACCTGCACCCTTTACATGGCAGGTCTGACAGGTTAATCCCTGCCTGGTAACATCACAATTATCCACCTTTTCTCCTGGCATCCTTGACATGGCATCTGCATTACCATGTTGTTTGCCAGCTCGATGTTCAATCTGAAAGTCATACTGGCTTAATTCTTCAAGCCAACGGGCTAGTTGTCCTTCAGGACATTTGAACCTAAAAAGCCAGGTCAGACTGCCATGGTTCCTAAGTAGAAACTTTCTACCTAGTAGGTAATGCCGAAATTGCCGTGTGAAACGAACAACAGCAAGTAATTCACGACGAGTGACACAATACCTCTGCTGGGCCGGTGAAAGGCGGCTACTAGCATAGCTCAGAACTCGTTCCTCTCCCCATTGTACTTGTGACAACTGCACCAACACTTGTTTGAGGCATCCGTATCCAGAATGAACTTCCCTTCAGCTTGGGGATACCCCAACACTGGTGCAGTGGTCAGTCTCTCTTTGAGCCTCATAAATGCAGACTGCTGCTCATCAGTCCATAGAAACACTGTCCCTTTTTTGAGCAGAGTATGGAGGGCTTGCCAGCTCTGCAAAATTGGGAACAAACTTCCGGTAATAGTTACACAGTCCAAAAGGTTTGTAGCTCCTGTAAGTTATCGGGGAGTTCCACTGCTGAACATTCTTTATGAGGGCTGGATTTGGACTGATTCCTTTGCCACTCACAACATGACCCAAGAAGAGAACTTCTTCTTGCAGCAGGTGACATTTTGATGGTTTTAGTTTTAATCCATAGCTTTGGAACCTCTGAAAAACCTGCTCGAGCCGATCTAAACTTTGATCTACTCCATTTCCGATGACAATGACATCATCCAGGTAGAGAAGAGTTTCCCACTGAAGGCCCCCGAGAACGAGTCCAATGCTCTCTGAAATGTACTTGGAGCGTTACATAGTCCAATGGCATTCGAGTGTATTCATAAAGGCCCCATTTGGTGATAAATGCTGTCTTTTCTCGATCTTTACTATCGCCACTGCAATCTGCCAATAGCCGGATTGAAGGTCAAGAGTAAGAACATGATGGCTCCACCCACAACATCAACATTCTTCAATCTGGGGTAATGGATAAGCATCCTTGATTGTTAGGTTTGTTCAGACAGCGGTAATCTACGCACCATCTTACTCCTCCATCCTTTTTTCGAACTAGGACCACTGGAGAAGCCCACTCAGATGCTGAGGAGTGATTATGCCCTCCGCCAGCATTTTTTTTAGATTGCTTCCTCCTCGCCCTGAAATCCAAGAGGGGTTCTTCTCACAGGTTGACGCACAGGTCTGGCAGACCCAGTGTCAATTTTGTGTGTAACAGCAGACAAGTAGCCATGGTCAGAGTCACTTTTAGCAAAGATGGATTGGTATTTGAGGAGTAGCTGAATGAATCGCTGTTGCTGTTCCTCACTGAGGGTCTCACTTATGGTAGCCACCAAACTTTGAAGGTGCTCAGGAATGTCAGAGATTGTTGCTACTCTCCCAACCACCAGTGATGGTGCAGGCATTGCATCTGGTTTTGGTGCAAATGGGGCAGAGGATAAACTTCAACTAAGAGTCCAAGACACACTCCTCTCTGTAGAGCCACTCTCTTGGTTGAAAAATTGCACACTCTGATTGGTACCTTTGGCTTCATGGTGACAACACTTCCAGAGGATACATTGTTTGCAATGTTCAAGGGTTCCAATAATGCTGTAACCCCTGGCTGTGGGTCCTCCACTTCACCCCACACAACACATTCAGATTTGGCTGGGATGATTGAGGTTCTTTCCAGAGTTACTCTAGCCACACAGGAGTCTGATCCATCCTCTCGCACAAGTTTTGAGGGGATCACTTCATCCCCAATGAACACTTTGCCTTGGTATAAATGACAACATCATGGGCCTTCATCAGATCCAATCCGAGGAGGACAGAGTCTCTTATAGGGGCTACATGTACTTCCCAGTCTATGGATTTGGACCCAATCTGGAAGGTCAATGTGAGTCCATGTTTTAGCTTTCATGCCATCTCCGACTCCTGCATTTAGTAGGTAGGTATGGTGAAGGTCTGCGGGTGCAGAATTACCATTCAGGATTTTCTGATAAAGCTCCTCTGATATTACAGTTGTCTGAGCTCCAGTATCTACGGCCTGCGTTGGGATGCCATTTAGGGTCAGTAGAATTTGCAGGCTCTCACCCTTCTTCTTAGTGCAGCCAACCTGTCTGCCTTGTAGTTGGTAATCTGAGGTTGTGGTTCCATTTGACTGCAGTTTATTACTGTCTCAGCGCGATTTCTTTTCCTGCTCTAGTTGTAGCTTGTCTTTAAGTTGTAATTAGTTCAGGTCGCTATTGTTTTCTATTGATTTCTTTTCCTGCTCTAGTTGTAGCTTGTCTTTAAGTTGTAATTAGTTCAGGATGGCTTGGATATTTTCTTTACGATTGGATTCACTCACAAAAGTCTTGTAGATGATCCCACTTCTGACACCAGTTGTCGTGCTTTTTGATTTCCGTTGTTAAGGAGGCGTGTCGGTACTTGAAGATACACGACAAAAAACGAAGGGTGTCTTGCAGAAACTTTATCCTTCAGCACACGGAGGAATTACAACAAAAACTGAGCTGTTGCCACAATGAACTGTGCGGCTTCTGGCCTCTAGCTCTGGCACGGACAGCGTTCAGCGATGTCCGGGCAGCAGCGGTGAGCGCCATATCCAACAACAGTCAAAACATAACGGATCAGCTGTTAGAACTGGTTGCTAAGGCAACCCCAGCTGTCAAGAACAGAATAAACAGACTTAAAACAACAAATCTCGCGGTGCGACCTTCCTTACAATATTTAAACATTTTGTCTGAGTTTACCTTTTGCCTTTTCCAGTTCTTCTTTGCATGTTTTCAGTTCATCTTCTCGTTCACCAACTCTGGTCTTTAACTGATTCTCTCTCTGTTCTTGTTCTTTCATTTGTTCGGTCAGTTTATTGATCTCGTCTGTTTGGGAAACAAAACATACAAACTTCCAACCTCAATTCTTTGATTACAAGAATATCTACAGTCATTTGTTCATGGTGATGATGATAATGATAATAATATTACAATTATTATTATTATTATTATTATTATTATTAGTCATCCAGTCTAAAATGAGGCACAACAAGTTTTGTTCTTTTGCTGAATCATCAATAAACTGTTACAATCTCAGATTCTGTATTTTGTAACTCATACATCCATAACTAAATATTTAAACTTTTTGTCTGAGTTTACCTTTTTCCTTTTCCAGTTCTACTTTGCATTTTTTAAGTTTCTTTTTCCACTTATTGATTTTCTTTTCTATTTCACCAAGTGTGAACTTTAACTGATTCTCTTTCTGTTCTTGTTGTTTTATTTGTTCGATCAGTTTATTGATCTCGTCTGTTTGGGAAACAAAACATAATGAATTACGTTTAGCAGAAGCAATATTTTATAATTAATGTTCAAAGTATGAAAACAGAGTGTCAATAAAGACGTGTTAACTTGGAGGAAAATGAAATAGTAAAATAAATCTATATTTAGACCCAATCAATGTTATAACTGATCTCTTTTATCATTGATTTGTTTTATTCTCAATTTAATACTTTTGTTCTGAGTAACATCAAGTTAAATTGTCTCTTCTGTTCGTAACTCTGATAATCTGAATATCTTCAAACTGCAGTCGTTTGTTTTTGTTCAGTTGCTGTTTTCTGATGATTTTCTTTCTTAGCCTAAATTCTTTCATTGTGCATTAAATGTCCTCTATATTGGTTGAAAGGTTCTCTAATAAACATTCAAAATATTCTGATTTCATGGAGCTCTGTGTCCAATATTTTAATGTTTATCTCAGATTTCCAGTTTTATTTTGTTTCCTTTGAGTTTACCTCTTTCATTTCTCAGTGTGGAGATGAAATCTTTCTCTTTCTTTTCTTGTTCTTCTATTTTCTCTGTCAGGCTAAAATTGTTTTCTGTGTTGGAAACAAAGATACAAATGCAAAAATACAACAGAAATTGTCATCAATGTTCAGAAAATAACCATAACCTGAGTTTGGAGGAGTGAAAGTTTGAAGTGAAATATAAATTTAAACCCTAAACTCCACCACAACTTTGTTCTTTTCCTCTAATCCTTTTACATTTGGTCAAATCAAACTGAATGACATCAGTATTTTTATTCCTGATGAAAATATTTAACATTGACAAGAAATTAGAAAATATCACTTGATAATTATGTTTTACAGAAAGATTAGAAGATAAACACCTGAACATCAACTATAAAGTGTTAGAAATGCAAACATTTAAAAAATCTTAAATAAAATAAGCCTGGCGGGGGAAAAGGTAAAGCCCCACCTGGTGGCCCGCCAGGCTTATGATACACTGAGGAAAACCTGCAAATCATTAATAAACTGTTACAATCCCAGATTCTGTATTTTGTAACTAATTCATCCATAACTAAATATTTAAACTTTTTGTCTAAGGTTACCTTTTGCCTTTTCCAGTTCTTCTTTGCATTCTGCATGTTCCTTTTTCCACTTATTGATTTCTTTCTCTCTTTCACCAAGTGTGAACTTTAACTGATTCTCTTTCTGTTCTTTTTCTTTCATTTGTTCGGTCAGTTTATTGATCTCGTCTGTTTGGGAAACAAACATGAATTACGTTTAGCAGAAGCAATATTTTATAATTAATGTTCAAAATATTATTAAACCAGAATGTAAATAAAGACAAGTTAGTCTGGAGGAAAACCTAAATTCTACATAATATTCATCATTTTCTATTTTATTGTCCATTAAATGTCCTGGACATCAGTTCAATGTCTGTCACAAATTAGTTTGCAACCTAAAATATTCTGATTTCATGGAGCTCTGTGTCCAATATTTTAATGTTTATCTCAGATTTCCAGTTTGATTTTGTTTCCTTTGAGTTTACCTCTTTCATTTCTCAGTCTGGAGATGAAATCTTTCTCTTTCTTTTCTTGTTCTTCTATTTTCTCTGTCAGGCTAAAATTCTTTACTGTGTTGGAAACAAAAGATACAAACGTAAAAATAAAACAGAAATAAAATATTGTTATCTAATGTTCAGAAAATAACCATAACCTGAGTTTGGAGGAGTGAAAATTTATAATGAAATATAAATTTAAACCCTAAACTCCACCACAACTTTGTTATTTTCCTCTAATCCTTTTACATTTGGTCAAATCAAACTGAATTACCTCAATATTTTTATTCCTGATGAAAATATTTAATGTTGACAAGAAATTAGAAATATCACTTGATAATTATGTTTTATTGAAAGATTAGAAGATAAACACTTGAACATCAACTATAAAGTGTTAGAAATGCAAACATTTAAAAAATCTTAAATAAAATAAGCCTGGCGGGAAAAGGTAAAGCCCCACCTGGTGGCCCGCCAGGCTTATGATACACTGAGGAAAACCTGCAAATCATTAATAAACTGGTACAATCCCAGATTCTGTATTTTGTAACTAATTCATCCATAACTAAATATTTAAACATTTTGTCTGAGTTTACCTTTTGCCTTTTCCAGTTCTTCTTTGCATGTTTTCAGTTCATCTTCTCGTTCACCAACTCTGGTCTTTAACTGATTCTCTCTCTGTTCTTGTTCTTTCATTTGTTTCGGTCAGTTTATTGATCTCGTCTGTTTGGGAAACAAAAGATACAAACTTCCAACCTCAATTCTTTGATTACAAGAATATCTACAGTCATTTGTTCATGGTGATGATGATGATGATGATGATGATGATATCACTAATATTATTATTATTATAATTATTATTATTATTCATCCAGTCTAAAAATGAGGCAGAACAAATTTTGTTCTTTCGCTGAATCATCAATAAACTGTTACAATCTCAGATTCTGTATTTTGTAACTAATTCATCCATAACTAAATATTTAAACTTTTTGTCTGAGTTTACCTTTTGCCTTTTCCAGTTCTTCTTTGCTTGTTTTCAGTTCATCTTCTCGTTCACCAACTCTGGTCTTTAACTGATTCTCTTTCTCTTCTTGTTCTTTCATTTGTTCGGTCAGTTTATTGATTTTGTCTGTTTGGGAAACAAAACATACAAACTTCAGTTTAGCAGAAACAATATCTTATAATCAAATGTTCAAATTATAATTAAAACCGAGTGTAAATGAAGATATGTTACTGTGGAGGAGAATTTACCAAATATAATTCATTTAAAAGATTTGTGGTTGCAGGTTTGGCTCTAGGCTTAAGTTTTTATCTTAGTCACTTTATTATTTGTTTAAAATGTCAAAGAAGCTCTAAACCTGAATGTTGCTGAGTTTTCACAAAATAGAAATATTAAAGTGTATTAATAATGTGAATCAGTCTGGATCTGGTTTTAGATGTGAAAACTGTGATATGGAGAGAATCAGATCATGTTCAAACCTTCAGTCTGAAAATCATCATCAAATCTCAGCATTAGTTATTTTATCATGTTTGGACTGATAAATTGTTGTAACTATTTAACTATTTAGGTTTCATGGTCCAATGGAGAGTCAATGAAAAGGATCTGTGAGCACTAAGTTTATGTTTGAGCTTTGACTAGGCCGTTGTGACACATACCTGGTTGTATGTTTGGATGTTTTGCTCCATCCATTATAAACCCTGAGCAGCTCATTTGTTTCTGAAAATGCAAACCTACTGCTTGTTTTTCCCACCATCATGTTTTCCATTGAGATGGAGTTTATAGAGTAATGTGTGATTTAATTTGGGTTTTCTGTGTAACTGAAAACATTAAGTGTTGTCACCAGATCACCTGCTACTGCATTTCTGGAATAGCAGGTTTGACATTTATTTATTCCATATTTCTGTCTGCAGCTCTTCAACTAAATCCTGATTGTAGAACAAATACATATCAATAGTTTTCCTGTCTGTACATTGATCAGAGTCATGCTGAATTGATTGTCTATTTTATCTTTTCAATTCATAGAAGAAGGAAACCTGTTGCCCTTTATACCCCATGGGGCTCAGTACTGCCCCCTATCAGTTCCTTCTGCCTCACCTGCATATTTATAGCCAATCTGAAGGTAATGAAAAGTTTACTTTATTTTGGGGGATTGTAGTAAAGGGGCTGAATACAGACGAAACCATTGATCATATTTTGCTTCAAGCTATGTGTTGAGTTAAAGGAGAGGTGAAAAGTTTTGGAAATTATTTTGGACCAAGAGAAATTATAGAGACAGTTGATTTTTAACTGATTAGTTTCTACATAATATTCAAAATAACATTTAGATAAAAACAATCTAATAATAAAACAAATTATTTCACTTATTTTGATAAATATGAATCAATGACAAAATACTGTTAAGGTAAATATGAATATTGGGACTTAACTTACCTTTAAAAATAAGGATGATCCCAATGGTGACAGAGGAAGAAAATGCCACTATGCAAACTAAAATAACAACACAATGTTATTTACTTTAAAAAATGCCCAGAATAAATTAAGTCTAATTTCATTAAGAACAAGAAATCCTCTCTGATTAAAGGTTAAGCAGATTATTCACCCTGAGGGCAAAGGTCACTTACATATGAGTGGATGAGGAGAAGGATGACAACAGGAGGAGGGACAGGTGCAATTAACAACACAACTAAATATGTTGGGATTTATTTCATCTTCTTCAACTTGGTGCATAACCTGAACCTTTTAAAAAACAAAAAATTCAGTTCAAATTTCAAATGAGTTGAGAGATTTGAAAATGTTATCTTTATATACCACATCAGGTTCTGGTTCAGTTTCAGGTTCAGGTTCAGGTTCAGGTTCAGTTTCTGGTTCAGGTTCAGTTTCTGGTTCAGGTTCAGGTTCAGGTTCAGTTTCTGGTTCAGTTTCTGGTTCAGGTTCTGGTTCAGTTTCTGGTTCAGGTTCAGGTTCTTGCTTCATCTTGTCCAGAACCTCCTGCTGATCCTCTGCTGATGGTGACATAAGGCTGAGCTCTTCCTGGTTTACCTGAGAAATAATGTGAATGAGGAGAACGATGAGAACAAGGAGGGAGAAATATTCACTGAAGAATATAACTGGATAAGATGAGATGAGTTCATCTTTTTCAATTTAGGTCATATATTCAGATAAAAAAGGAAAAACTCCATTCAAATTTCAAACAAATTTCAAACAAGAGATTTGAAAGTGTTATATTTACATACCTTCTCAGGTTCTGGTTCTTGTGTCACCTTTTCCAAAACCTCCTGTTGTGATGGTGACATTCGGCTGAGTTTATAGTTTTTTACCAAAACATCTTTTGGATAAAAGTCTAAGTCTAAGAAAAACAATGAAAAAAAAAAAATCTGAAATCTAAAACTAATCAGAGTAAAAATCCAATACAATCCATACTGAGATCATTTCAACATTTATTTACATTTATGTATATATTTATATCCATATATAAGACTTACATGTGAATGTGGTCACAGCCAGGACAGACGCAGCAACATAAATAGTTTTATAAAACATGACGATCAGGAGACCTGCGATGGTAAAAACTGTTACAACTTCAAAACAATAAAAGTATTTAAAGTTTCTAAAATGTGTCTGAAATCTGATAATCGTCTGTAAAATGTATATTTCTTAAGTTTTTAAATATTTATGAGAATCACTGCATTTGACAAAAACTTACTGTTAGAAAATTTTCAATTTCATTGTAAAATCCTGTAATTTAAATAATAAATATATAAATAAGAACTGCATAGCAAATTAAGAGACATTCATACCTGCTCTGCAAAGGAAAGTTGTTGAATAAACTCCAACATGAAGCAGTGGATCAAAGTGCTCTGATTTGAACTTTAACCTCTGTGCTCTGTGACGAACCAAGGCGTGTCCACGACAGTTTATGGTTTATTTACCATTATTTTGCACTATAGTAACATTGTGTAACATATACATGAGATGTATTTTATTCATAATAATACATTATAAAAGTTTAATTTTCTCACTACAGCAACATAATAACTAATTTGACCAGTAAAGTTTCAAACAGTTAAATTTCCAGTTCCTCAGACTGAGACTAGAAAACGGCGTCCGGCGCCTCAATCTAAATAAAACTGTTGGTTTTATTCACGTCAGTGAATAGACCATAAAAATTCTTAACCTAAACCCACACACACCTACACACACACACACACACACACACACACACACACACACACACACACACACACACACACACACACACACACACACACACACACACACACACACACACACACACACACACACACACCTACACACACACACACACACACACGCACACACACACACACACACACACACACACACACACACACACACACACACACACACACACACGCACACCCTCTCCCCCTCCCCCCCCCCCACACACACGGCTGTTTAAAGCAAAACTTTATACATACTCTTCTGTTAATCTCCAAGTATTTTGTTTAACAGAAAAGTAAAAACAAGATTAATCCTCAACATTTTAACTTTTATGAAACTAAAGTAGATTATTTAGTTACTTTTTCTAATAAAACAGAACAAGCTGTACTATATGAAGGAAACATTATTTTGATTTCATCTTAATAAAACTTGACATGATTATATACAAATATATGGTTTCTAAAAAAAAATCTAACTAGACAAAGTGGATTCCTAACTTTAATAGTTAATGAGACAAACTTTTGAGTCAAATTAAGACATTAAACGTTAGTAAATCTTACCGGTTGTGTTCAGCGTGAAGCCAAATCCTCTTAGTTCCTATCGAGGCCAAAGTCCTGTAATAAAGAAATGGTTTAACTGTCCTGCTTTACAAAGGTGGACACCACACCTTTTATATCTGCAGTGTTGCTTTATTTCCTGTCATTAAACCAGAGGATCAAATGTTTTCATTGGTTCACTCTGAACCTGCTGAGAAAAACACTTTGATTCAAATTAGATTAAACCGGTTTCTGAATCTACTTGCATATCAAATAAAAAAGTCAAATTAGCTTTTAATATTAAGATAAAACTGAAATTAAAATCTATGACTTTGAAAAGCTAGTAAACAACATTTTAAATAAATGGTTTAGCAACTAATTAGTAAAGTTTCTCTATTATCAGCAATAAAATACACAGTTTGACTTCAGAATCTTTAACAGACATTTTTATGAATATTTTTATTAATTACTGGTAATTTAAGACCAATCAGGAGTTTATTTCAGTTAAATTTGATTTTATCTGAGCTGATCAAAGTGAAGAAGCAGCTGCTGATTTATTACAGCTGGTTGTTAACAGCAACACCAGAGTTTCAAGAACTGACTTATTTATAACTAGAAATGTTCATATCATCATAAAACCTGTCAGGTTTAACCTCCATAACTGTTTTCCTCTTTCTGCATGACTTTAGAAAACAACATTCAATATTAACCTCCAATTGACAGCTTATCATTTTTACTAAACTGAAAGAAAAGCTAAAATTATTCTACATTGATGTGAAACTGATGAAGTAAAACAGAAAAGTCTGAGGAGGCTTTATGATGTTATTCATGGTAAAAAACATTCAAATTTAAATATTAATTTTAAAAAATCTCAGGATGTGATGTTAGGTTTATTTAAAAAATGATAAAAATTTCAGAATGTTTTGTTTATTTTTATGTGTAATAACTGCAACATTTTACATGTTTTATTTCTGAGTTTCTCATCAATGAGAGGACAACCACTCAGTGGAAAACAAAATATGATTTATTTATAACTAAGAAGATACATTGAAAAAAATCAACATTATTTAAACAACCTTCCAGCAGTGAGTTTATTCAGTATAAATCAAATTACACAATTGTCATTGATTTATTTTGAGATACATTTCATGAGTTTTTTCATTTAATTTAGTAAATACAAAGTTCATAAAGTTGATTGTCATAAATTGTCATATTTTTGGTGCTGTTAGTATTTTGTCCTCTCAGTTTGCTGCAGTTTTTTCACTGAATCCACATCTAAACTTTAGTGACAGAAAGTCTCAATGTTTGCAGTAAATCTGCTGAGTTTGAACTTGATGAAATGTTTCTTTCATCAAAATGTTGCAGAACAAATGAAAAGTTCATTTATTTCTCTCATGACATCAGATTTACTCTTATGTCACTTTTTGACCAAGTTGTTTTTTTATTTCATTTTTATGATTTTCTATCTCCTGTTTTCTCTCCGTCAGTTTCTTAATTTCATCGTTTGTTTTCTTTATTAGTTTATCTGTCATAAATCCAACTTCTTGATGGTTTTGCTTTATCTTCATCATTTTCTCTTTGCTCTCCATTATAATTGTCTTCAGCTCTAAATATCCTTTTGCTTTTTTTTCCATCATGTTTCCTGTCTGGTTTATTTCATCATCAATAACCTTAAACTTCTTCTCATCCTCCTCCATCGTTTTTGTTGCCTCCAATGTTTGATCATCAAGTTGTTTTTTCTGCTCCTTTAGTTCCTCTGACATCTTCATTAATGCTTCAATCTGCTGATCAATGACTTTCTGTTCCTTGTTGCTCTTTTTTATCTCCTCCTCTAGTTTTGCTGCTGTGATGAGGTTCTGTTGATCTTCACTGACTTTCTGTGCGACTTTCTTTAACTTCTTGTTTTCTGTAGAAACAAGATGTGATACAGATTGTTAGTGCAGATCCTACACAAAGAATAAAAACAGTTTTCCTTTAAGATTGTAAAAGTTTTAGGTTTCTCCACATATATAAATCATACTCACTCTTTTTGTTTTGTTTCTTCATCCAAATCATAAAAGCGACTCCAAGAACCAACATGATGACCAAAATGACATTGAAGCTGATAGAAACGGAGCAGCTGGACTCATAAATGAAGAAATCATCTGAAACGTGACCAAACACAGAAACAGAACTGTTACTGAAATAACTGGACTATTAATGGTTAAATGTTTTATTTTCTACCTGGAACATGAATGTGTGTCTCTCTGCTCTGGTTGATGTCTCTCTGCTGGACTCTGCAGGTAAAGTTGTTGTAGTTTCTCTTCTCTACAGTCACTCTGCTGCTAACGGTGTAAACGCCATCAGGATCGGAGCTTTTCTCTGCAGGTCCAGCAGACATGATGTTTCCGTCTGCGTCCAGCCAGAGCAGCTCAGGTTCTGGATACCAGCCTGCAGCGCTGCAGTCCAGCATCACTCCACTGCTGCTCACATCCAGTCCAGATAAACTGACAGCAGGTGAGGAGACGGAGCCTGGTGATCACAGGACAGGGAAGATTATGCAGTAAAAATATGTCCTGCAAGGTTTTAGAGTCACATCAAATTCAGCATTTTGATCTTAATATTGATTGATAGTTAAATGCTTTTACTGTTTGTTTTGTGCCACGTTGTACATTCATTTGACTGAATAGCGTTCTTCTTCTTCTTCATTTGTCATTTACTTCTAGCATAATTTCTTTCTACTTCATGTGTCTCAATGTGAACCAGTTTGGTTTTAATAAGACTGTAACCAGTCCTGGTAAGATAAATGTAGGACTGGCTGTTTATTGTTTGGTTCACTCACCAACAATAAGATTGATAAAATATTCTGTTTTCTCTTTTGGGATGTAACATCTGTATCTTCCGTTGTCAGAGTGTCTCACATCAGACAGCTTCAGAGAAAAGTTTCCGTCCTTCAGTTTGTCATTGAACAGCGACGTTCTTCCCTTGAACAGTTTGTTTTGGTCGGCTAAATATTCCTTCTGGTTGTGCCAAACATGCACAAATCTGGGTTTTAGGTCTGGCCTGCCCCACTCCACTGTGAACTGAGTCGGGTCCAGAGGAGGGTCCACACGATGCGGCAGGACGACGTCGTCCCCCGGCATCGCTCTGATTGTCAGAGGCAAAACCGGCTCCTGCGACTGACCTGAGAATCACAACATTTACGATTTCAGGATGATACTGGTGACAAATTCTCAAAAACAAATACTTTTTCTGCATATTCTGTATATTTGAAACCTTATTTTGTCTGAGCCTACAAGCCTGAGAAAAAATACAAGTTTCTACATGAAAAATCTGCTACATTACTAACAAAATATCAATACCAGCTGCATTGTGTTTAAGATAAAGTTTGATTGTTTTTTATCTGTGTTCTGCAGAAACTCATCACTTGTCAGAGCTGAAACTTACACACCAAGCTTAATTAGACTTGCATGTCTAAATAAAGTCTGAAGTTTTTCTTTATGAAACTAAATTTGTCCCCAAGTTCATGTCTGAGACCTGAAACTTCATTCCTGTAAAGATGTTACCTTCACTGAGGTGAATCAAGATAAATATGCTGATAAAGAGACCAGAAATGAATCCATCTCGGTTGTGAATCATCCTGGAGACTCGAAAACTGAAACACACAGACAGAAACTTAAAGCTTGGAAATATATTTACTAACAAACAATGACAATCTGTTTATTGATTTATTGTTTTTCATGGATTTGACTAAATTTAAAAACTTTACAAAGCTGCATATGAGTTAAATGTACTGCCACAATTTCTTTGAGAAATTTTATTCTACACAGAAAATGTCTGCATGACTATCAGACTTGAACATGTTGACGTTTTGCTTCGACTTGCTGAAGCAAAAGTTTGTCCTTCAAGCTGCCGTGATTTTATTGCCAGCTCCAGAAACGTACATTTTTCTATTATCATAAAAACAAGCTTCACATTGTACTATTAACAGTGTATGTAAACAAATAGGAAGTTATGGGAAACAATAAGAAATGAGAGAATAAAATGAATGAAAATACCTTTTTAGTGACATTCTAGTTCCTCTTTTCGCTGCGTTTTGTGGTCAAAGTCCTCAGAATGACGATGTTTCAATAAAGATTATTCTCATACATTAGTTGATGCTCAATGAACTAATACAAAATGTTTTAAATATTTTTTAAGTCAAATAGAAACCATGCTAACACTCATAATTATCTCTAGCGATGTGAAACCAAATCCTCCGGAGAATATAGTGCAGATTCACAGCAGGATTCATAGCCTGGATATTGTTTTATTACTGTGAACAGAGCAAAACCTGGTTAATATTTAATCACAACATCTGAACATGAAAAACGGAACTTTATGTATATTTATCACATTTACTGAAACTTTAACAGCAATGTGGACATGATGGTATTAAAAATATATTAATGTAATGTTTTCATTCTCTACACAGTAAGAAATGTTTTCAAGTTTAAGTTTGGAAAAAAAGCTGAAATTAATGCCGACATTTTGTAGCAGCTCATAATTCTGTAGTTAATGTTTAATCTCTTCAAGAGGAAAGACTAAAGTCTGACCCACCACACCTTACCACACCTTACCACACCTTATCACACTAAATCACATTTCATTTAAAAATACAAGAAATTACACACAATATATTTTTATCTTTCTAATTATATTATTTCTAATAACTTAAAACTGTTACTCAGTTTTTAGTAAAGCAAACACCTTTTTGACATTTTCTGATGCACATTTTCTTCATCTACTTTAAAAAAATACACACAATTCCCAACATGGAGTATGTTTGTTTGTTTATGTTTTTATTACAAAGAACATAAAAAAACATGACAGTTAATTTCAAGAACTAGCTAAGAAACATAAACCAAATAAATCAACTGACACTGACAGACCTAAATGATGAATAATGAAAATAATAGAGCAAAAATAAAAAACACATCAAATCTAAAAACAAACAACAATGATGGCATAGTTACACTGAAAAAGAAACATTAATCAGATTACTGATTACTCCTTGAAAAAGTAACTTAGATTACTGATTATTTGATTTGGAAAGTAACTAAGTTACATTAAAAGTAACTTCTTTAGTTACATTCAGCAGCTGCTAACAACAACAACAACAACAACAACAACAACAACAACAACAACACTCCTCCACCTCTGACCAGCTGAGCTAAACTATCCTACATAATGATGAGTTTTTATCAAATTAAAAAAATTACTTATTTTTACCAAAATCAAGAATTGATGAGTTTTAATATTCTAATGTTTTTCAAAATCAATATGCGTAAAGATATATTTTCCAGCCATTTTTTTTTTATTTTGAATTGTTGATTTTATTTGTTATAAATCAACACTTAATTAAAGTTCATTAAATCTTATTTGTTTATCTTGTCTGAACTGGATTCATGATTTTTTCAAAAACAATTTTAATTCCAGTAAAACCCAGAAAGTAAAATAACAATCATAGTAAATTAAATAGTTTATTGTAGTTTATTATAGTTACATTATGATCTTCTTTAGATGCTGTTTTAAACATCCTCCTTTGTACCTGTTTGGGTTGACAGCAGCATCTCTATCGGTTCCAGGACTTTCTCTGTGTTTAATATCTGCCTTTCACAAAGTTTCTTGTTCTCATCCAGTTTCCACTGAGACGTCAGGAGATCCTCCTTCCTCCTTAAAAACGACTCTTTGTCCTCAGTATTTCCTTCATCTGTAATTTTAGTTTCCTCTGACTGAAGCTCTTTTTTATTTTTCCTCCTTTCATTCTCAACTTCTTTAAGTTTTTCTACATGTTGATGTTTCTGGTTCTCCAGTTCTCCTTTCACGTTATTCATTGTAGTTTGTAGTTTATCATTTTTCTTCTTTAGCTCAGCATTTTCACCTGTTGGCAAAAAACATGCAAACTGTGATACAAAACATACAATAATATGATTTATTTTTTCTTTGATCTCTCCTTCACTATTAAACTTTATAGTTAATGATGAAATGTAAATTAAATTAAGTTAGGCTAAAATGTAACAAGATAACAATATAACTACAACATATTTTTCATAAGTTCAGATTTTTAATTGTTTCTAACTTTAACTCCAGAAACATCTAAATGTTGTAAACATAATCCTTTTAATGTGCAAGTTGTTATTTGACTTCACCTTGTATTTCCTTCAGTTGCTCCTTCAGATCAATATTTTCTGTATTTAACTGCTTATTGTCATGTTGTAATTGATCATTTTTCTTCTCAGCATTCTCACCTGTTGGCAAAAAGGTTGTTACATATTTTAATACCACATAAACAAGTTATTAAATCATTCATACATCCAGCAGCCGTTTGCTTTTCCTCTGCTTCAGCATTAAACTGCATTTTGCACAACAATACGCTACAGTTTAATCCGATAAAAGCTGCTGAGGGATTTTCTCCTGTAGTATTTGATTTTCTTTATTCTTCAATAACTTCTCGATGTTCAGATGCTGATGAGCAATGATTTTCTTTTCTGCCTCTGAATTCGGCTGGAATTGCAAGTTTTTTCTATTTTATTTAAAACATATTATTTTTAATTTTGTGAAATGCCCTGGAAGCAGCTTTTAAATAAAATATGTAATTATTATCACTATAAATATTTATTCTGCTACAAATAAGTTTTTTTTTTAATAAATGTCTCATAATGTATCAACTGGATTTGAAACTCATAGTTAGGTCTCAGAGACTTAAATAACATCCTACTCTTTCACACTTTGTTGTTAACAGTATTTGCCGTTATTACTAATAAATGACAATAACTTACATCTCTTTCTCCAGTAGAGAGCAGCAGCAGAAACAGCCAGTCCAGAAAAGCAGATCACAGCACAATGTTTTGATTTGATAGAAATAAACCAGGAAGAATCCAGGAAACGTGAGGCTGCAGCCCAACTGAAAGACATTTGGACTGTCATATTATTACCTGAAAAACAAAAAATCACAAACTGCATCATCAAAACCTGCTCAAAGAATCTATTGTTTCCTGATGAGCACTAGTCAAGTCAATTTATACTGACGTTGGTTTGAGTTCAAGAGCTTTTGGAAAAACTGGAATATCTACCGTTATTCTGTAACTGCATAAAACTTAAAAATATATCTTAAACATTTGCAGAAAGAAACCACTTTACGTTCATATAAATGCAACACATTATTCCCATAATCTAGCAAATAAAAAAATGTTTTTATTTAAATACATAACATTTTTCATAAAGTCAAAGTAAATTATTTTGCAAACAGACTAAATAAGCGTCTGAATAATGTTTGAAAAGAACATTTTACGTTAGATAAACTCACCGGGAGGATGCGTGTTTGATGGTTCACCTCAGACTGAACACTGAAGGGTCAAAGTTCTGCTATGAATGAATCGCTTTTACTTCAAGGGTCAAAATGTGCCAATATCACACATTTTTTTCTTTTTTGATGCTGTAAATCTGCAGTCCAAACTTGGACTGCAGGTTATTATTTTTGTTCTGAAAATAATTATGAACTGCAAGATTATACATTACTTTTTTCATGCATCTAAAGTGATTTTTTAGTCCTGCAGGTAAAACAAAGAACAAAGAAATGCTTTCTTGTTGAATCCAAAGTTCAGAATCACCTTATCTGAGCCTGACTAGGATAAAGTTTATAACAGCAATTAAACTTTTGATCTGTTCTCTAAAACTACAACTATTATTCTGATTGTAAAGCAGTGGCTTTGGCGGGTCATCTGTCCTGAATGACCTTCTTACTCTGGTGCAAAATGTCCTCTGCCTTCCTGTCCCTGGTTGATGTCCTGTGTCTCTCCTGCACCATAAAGTCCATCTCTGCATCCATCTGTTGGTTCCTGTGGGTCATTAGCTGCATTTCCATTAATTATAAAACTGCACAAATTAAAATTACAAACATAAATTTGCCTAATTGAAATATGACAATTTAAAAAAAAACTCATTTTAAAAAAATTTTGAGCTAGGATGAGGTTTTCCATTTTAAACAGGTGTAAATCGCAAAACTGCAAAACTTTGCATCATGTGATCAACAGCCAGAGGCCGCCGGCAGAAACTACAAAGAAAACAACACCAGGTTTGTTTTTGGTGCTTTTGGTGTTTTTGGACAATATGCAGTTTGCTCAAAGCAACACAGTTCATAAAACGTTGTGTCTTTCCAACATGTTGAACCCAAAAGCTCTTCTGTAAAATCAACAACTACAATTTACCCAAAATGCCGCAGACATATCCGCTCCCGAGTAGATCAGAGATTCATCGCTCCAACACCTGAGCAAGACGCAGCCGTCTCCTCTGATTGGCTGATAGATGGGTGCAAGAACTATGAATGTAAATTATGAATATATGTCATATAACCATACATTTGATCAACTTATTGAAAATCTTATTCACATGTGAGGTGTGTCCCATCAAATCCTTACTTTCAAAACAACATTTAAGTTTAAGAGCTGAAACCAGAACACACCCAAGAAAAGGGAGAAGTTTCAAAAATATTTATTAGAAATCACAATAAGATGGTATTAAAATGTTCCTATTTAGATCTGGTTGCACTGGTGGGTCTGCAGAGATGAGTGTCATCACTGAATGATAGCAAGGGGAAACAAAATGGAGATTTAGCAGGAACAGAGGATTCACCAAATCCTTCAGGGCTTCAGGGATGTTCAGTGAAAACTGAGATTATTGCATCCACCATGAAATTTTGTGTGGTCCAAAAGCAGTCCGGGGTCAGCCACAGGTCAAGGTCAAAGAAAGATAACCAGAGAACAATCAGTAAAATTATATTCAGTCTTTCTGTTTTTATACTGGAGCAACAATTGGAACTGTTATAGCTCCATTAGTTTTGGACATCTAGATGTTTCACGTCACACTGATGCTTCTCAAGAAAAGCACTAGAGGGCAGCATGGAGCTGTTTTCAGAGAGATCCTCTCACTTCACTTCATTAACAACATGGATTTCATGACAGGAAAATGCAAAACTCCGGCTACATGTATCTGGATTATCATAAAACAGAAGGCAAGTCAGTGATATTTCAGTCCCTGCTGAACTTTTCTATCTTCCTCTGTCAGCATCAGTGACCATCCAGACAGGAAGAGGAAGTTGTGAGCTGCATGTTGACTCGGTGTGAATGTGAGAGTCTCGTCATTCAGCATCGAGCATCATGGAGGTCACAGCTCTCTGCATCCAAATCTGTAAGTGTTTTTGTGACTTTTTATGCTGGTGCATTGTAAGTTTGGGTTCATCAGTTTGTTTTGTCTCTGCAGGGATGAACGTTTTCGCTCTGCTGTCCACAACGTCTGCTCAGAGCTTCTCTGGTGAGCTGCAAACTGTTTTAAAATGCTTTTATTTTACAGTTGTTTGTTTCAAATGGCTACAAATCAATCAAATCAATAAACTAAGTTAACTCTCACAAGCTGCTTTGTTTTTTAAGATATTTGCTGCTTTTATGTTGTAAATCATTCATTTCCTTCTTCCTCTTCCATCACAGGTTTTCCTATTATCATTCCTGATCAACTTCAGTTCTTTGAGTACCGCTCTGTCTCTGTGCACTGTCCCAGGGACAAACACGTCATGAAAAAGCTTCAAAAGTTGAGTCCAGCAAATGAGTCGAATGTCTGCAGCATCCCAGCTCCGTCCTGCACAATCGATCCAACCTTTGAAAAATACACTGGAGAATACTGGTGTGAAAATGATGAGGGCGAACGAAGCCTTGCTCTCAACATCTCTATTGAAGGTTTACTTACAATGGTTAAAAGGAAATGTTGTATTTTAAACATATTCTAATAAATACATTGGAGTTTCTTCAAATAGATGACAGAACATTTTACTGTCCTCTTCATATTTCTCAGATGGTCCAGTGATCCTCAAATTTACGGCCCAACCTGTGAAGGAAGGATCTGATGTGATTCTTCATTGTAAAAACAAAAATGATGAGAAACCGCAAACATGTGACTTCTTCAAAGACGGCCAGAGCTTTGAAACCACCTATGATAAGAGGAATGATCTGACACTTCAGGGCGTCTCCAAGTCTGATGAAGGATTTTACAAATGCAGCATTTCTGGAGTTGGAGAATCTGCAGAAAGCTGGCTGTCTGTCATCAAACCAGGAAACGGTAAGTAGATGTTACTGGTTTATGATGGGTTTATTTTTGTTCTTTGGAGCATTTGTTTATTTTAACACACCAAATAGAATCTGTTTACATTTATAGATATATATAAATATAAATATGAAACAAATAACCAAACATACTGTTGAAACCAGATATTTACGGACATTTAATAAAAAGACATAAGTGACAGAAAACTTTTTTAAATTCAGAAGTTTGCATACAGGGTTAGCATGTAGCATGTAGCATGTATGTGTTTTAAAATGTGTAACTTGTGTTAAACCTTTGGAGTTTCCCTCCACAATATTCTGATCGGTTAAATAACATATTTTGAGTTAATTTTAAGAAGTGGATGAATTTTAAGGTCCCATTTGAAACTTTCTTGTTTGACATGAAGAGGAAGGTCAACAGAAATCAGGAAGAGAATCGAGCAGCTGCTCAAATCTGGTTGATTCCTGGAAGACATTGATCTTCTGATGGATTTCAGCCTGTAGTTTATAGGCTGACATATAAATGTTTACACATACAGTGTGTGTCACTATGCCAGTGTACTCTACAAACTGAAGTATTTTAAACACCTTTATAACTTTTCGCTGTTGCATTATGGTGTAATTACTGCATGTTTGTTAGATTCTGATGTGGAGACGGAGCCTGATGTGGAGACGGAGCCTGTGCAGCATCAGGCGCCGGTGGTCACCATCTTGTTGTGCAGCCTGGCTTCTTTATTCTTCCTGGTGGTTGGACTGATTTTCTTCAAGCGACATAAAGGTACTGCTGAATGAAATATGTATTCTGAGTTTTTACACATTGAGTTTATTACCCCGTCTGATTGGCTGAAGAAAAAGATCTAGTGAAAAATTCACATTCAGCCATGATGATGAGTTTTATTCAACATGACAATGATGCAAAACCAACCCTGGTTATAAAATGACTCTGATCTCATGAAGCAGCTCTGTGCAAAGAAAAACATTTGATACCAGTTTGACCTGTTTCTCCTCTGAACCTGAGGTTTGGATCTTGATGGTTTCTGTTCCTAGAACTGAACTCTTCCAGCAGCACAGAGAAATGCTGTAAGCTTTTAGCTTTTCTTTCTTCTACATTCCTCTGCAGCCTTGAAGCCTGAGACCGTCACAGATCCAACCAGAGCTACTTATGCTGTAGTCAACAAACCAAGGAGGACAAACGGTCAGTATTTTTATTTTTATTTCTATTTTTTTCCGTTTGCAGTTGCTCACATCTCTGTCACAGTTTCAGTTCCTGCGTCTTTAAATTCGCAGGTGGAGAAACCAGAACAGACCATCAAGTCACGTATTCGTGCATCGATATCAGGCTGACAGGTACTTTCTATCGTAACGTCTTTTTTAACCAGCTCTGTGGTGAACCACCGTGACGTCACTCAGGCACTCTGCTCGATTTAGCACAGCAGCTCATGTTCATTTTCTGATGTGTGAGCTAAAGCACAGAGAAAGTAAATTTAACTTGTCAGTTAAAGCTACAAAATAAAAGCCCAGGTTGAAACGATCAGCCCTTCAGGTTCCTCATCTAAACCAAAACAACTGAAAGGAAACATACCAGAAAAATAAAGATGTTTCTGCAGCTCAATGTGACATAACTTAACTTATGCATATTTTCTGATTAAATTGCACCAAGTTACACAACAAAAATCTTAAGTCACAAATATTTACAAACCAAAACTTTTCTCATTAATTTACTTTCCTTTCTTTTCAGGGCAGGAAGTTCGTACAGCTCCCATCAGACAATATTCACCAGAATAGGAACCAATCTATTCTGTTGTTAGTAAATAATCTGTGTCTTTTTAAAATAATAATTAGCTCCAGAAATAATGACTGACAATAATGAAGACAGTCATTTCTAAATGTTGGTTTCCCAATACAACCTCATGCAGGATTCAGTGGAACATCCAAAGTTTGTATTTCTCTCAATTGAAGCTTCTTTTAAGATCTGCTGAACACGTTTTTTTCAATCTCATTTAAAAAAGACAGAAAATCAGTTTATTATGTCATCAAGTTTGATAAGAAGTGGGAAAGTTTAGAGTTTTGATTTTCATGTCAATTCAAAGAAAAGTTTAATTACAACAAGTATATAACTCAAGGTTTCAGCAGGTGTTTTTTTTTTTCTTCTTCTATGGTTTTTCTTCTTCATAAAGAAGTGGTTCCACTAAATTGAAGTGAAACTCTTTTGTTTCCACGAATGCAAGGCAGGATTTTGAGATGCAGGATGTTTTACTCTTATACTGACCTGCAAAGAATCGTTCACCAGATGAAAATCTGTTTCAGTTCTTTTTTTAAAAAGTTTTCCACTATTTCATTCTTGTTCCACTTCCTGTGATGATGGAGATTTTCATTGTTGTGGTTTCAAGACATGAGCCCACAGTCATGAGATCCGCCAGATATTACAATTAATTAAGACAATATTGGCAAAAGCACAATTTTAACAGAATTACTGCAGAATATACAAGATTTATATATATATAGCAATATTTGAATTTTTAAAAAAATGTCTAAGTGTGAAAATTAGGCAGACTACTGTCATAATAGATTTTCTTTTTGCATTATGAATCTGTTCTCAGATCATATGAAGCCAATCTGGAAAGGTGAACCTCAGGGCTCATTTTTAGGACTTCTCCTTTTTCTCTCAGAGTTTCTCATTCACTGCTCTGTCATTTCCAGCTAAATGCTGACATCAGTTTGATCCTTTATGTGTGAGAAAGCTGCCAGTTTAAACTATTAGGATTCATTTTAAACTATTGCTGTAAAGATGCACCTTTTGTTTTGTTACTTTTAACTATGGCAGAAAGCTGAATGTTTACAGAAAGAAAAGATTTAAAGATTTCAATTACTGTGAAACTATTTTTCAATGTGAGCGAGAACAAAGTTTACTCTGAAACCGAGACTGACGTCATTTTATTAAGCTGCCATTTCTCTAACTGTCTGAATTAAAGGAGGCAAAGATCTCATACACACACACACACACACACACACACACACACACACACACACACACACACACACACCACACACACACACACCACCCCCCCCCCACCCCCCCCCCCCCCCCACACACACACACACACACACACACACACACACACACACACATCTGCCCTCTCAGGTGAAAACCACGTGATGTTTCCTGATGAATTCATCACTCGAAGCTTTTCTTTAGTGACATCTGGTGGTCAACAGTGTGATTAGCAGCTTCAGTCTGTAACTTTAAACAGCTGCATGATGATTGTCCACTTTGTAAAAGTTGGTGGAAACTTCAGTTTATTAATCACGTATCAAATCTTTTTATTTGTGTTTTGAACATGACATTGTAAAACATTTTTTTTATTTGTTTAAATAAATAATTTTGATGAATAAATGATGTGATCTACCTGCTTGTGACAATCTAAGTTTTACTGGATGTGGGCAAAATTAATCTTTTACAAAATATGTTTTTATACTTATTTTATTCCTTGCTTGTTGAGTAACCTGATGATTAGAGTTGCTACTTTAATACTGAAGCAGCTGTTACCATAGCGCCATCTGCTGGAATAATAAACAAGCACAGATCTAAAAATAATTGATTAAACCTTTCTGTCACTTCTCGTCATTTGATTGACCTTGACCTGAACTAGTGTGGAATAAAACAGGTGCATCATAATCAGTGCACATCTGGGCTGCTCCACACTGCCCCCTACTGTTTTAACACCTGATTCACATTGAAAAGCTTTTATTTGAGGAACAAAATCAGCTGAAATCAACTTTAGATGATGATTAGATGAACTTCAGAGGGTTATCTTTGTCATTTACAGAGAGAAAGTGAAAACAGAATACAACCAATAAACATTTGATTATTGATTATTGATTTTATTAATGTTGGATTAAAGGTCTGTCAGTGCAACAATGAGTCAATAAATAATAAAATATGTATAAATAATGTAACGAGGTGATGTCACATTTTAATGACTCCCATGTTGTTACTGTTGAGACCAAATTTCAATACAAAATGTCTGCTAATAGAAAACAATTACTGATTATATTGTTTTGTTTAGATTTCTGGTCGGAAACAGAAATCAAGTTTTTTTTGTTGTTAAACTCTTGATACATTTATAATTGATGTAAAAATGCAGGTGAAAACCATAAATACCATCTAATAACACTAAATATGACACAATGTTCATAAGTATTATTGCATTACTCCTATAATACTGGTAAAAAAAAAAAAGTCAACAAAATAGCTGCAAAATTTACCTTCAGTCATCAAAAAGAAAAAAATAAATACAGAACTATAGACCATCAGTCAGTAACCAGGTTCATAAATTAGCATTTATTTACATTTTCTATCTGAACTTAAACCTCATTTTTAAACCTTTATGGTTTTTCATTCTGTAACTTTTACAATAAAAATATGAATCTGTTCTGTGTTGATTATTTCAATCAATTATCCTCCCTCTGTATATAAGAAACTCTCATTTTTAATGTTTCTATCATCTTTTCTCAGGCTTGTCCAGTTTCCACCTGCATTATATTTCCATTCTCTACCAGCAGATACTAAGATTGGCTGAAAGTTTTTGCTTTTTTCTCCCGGGCCAGAAGCTTCTGCTTGGTTTCTTCAGTCTCAGCCTCCATGTCCTTCGCTGTGACTCTGATGTGATGCATCCAGGTCTTCAGTTTGTTCTTCACTTCCTGCAGCGTTGCAGCTTCATCTCTGCAGTCCTGCTCCGTCAGCTGGAGCTTCCTCTGAAGCTCACAGTTTGTTTTCCGTAATTCTTCTCTCTCACCTGAAGTTAAAACATAAACAAGAAATTAGCAAAACAAAAACCCTGCAAAGATCTGTCTGGAAAAAAATCTTTATTCGATCTTCTGACGTTTGATTTTTAAGACAATCCAACACATTTACAGCTTTACATGAACCTGAGCTTTTCAAAATGCATTTAGGTTCATTAAGGTGTCAATTTAATTTTAACAAGAGAATATAAACAGAAAAAATAAGAGACATGAAGATTAATTATTTTAAATCAATGATTTAAAGCTTTCTGGATGAACAAACCAGTTTAATTAATGTGTCAGCTGAAATGCTTGAGAGTTCAGAAAACATTTAAAGCTTGACGGTTCATTATAAAAGGAGTATATAGCTGTTGCAGCAGCTCAGACATGTCAGCTCTCATTTGTTCTTTTCTAACATTTTTGGGTGACATATTGCTTGTCTTTACTACAGTTTCTCTGGTTCTGGAAGTTGAGCAGCTGGATGGATTTCTGCTCTTACTATTTTATGTTTGAATTGTTGCTCTGATGCTCATCCATGTCAACAGCAGCGTCTCCCACTCATCCAGCTGAAGTAGTTTTCTTTACAAAAGCAACTTTCAGACCAATTCTCTCCAGATGGATTCTTACATTCTGTCTCAGTTCGTCCCATTCCAAACTCATTTCTGGACCAGCATTTATGAAATTACTCACTTAGAAGACAAATGGTAAAACCAAGACAAAAAATGTTTATTTACATCACAAAAATGTATGTTTTGCTCTTCCTACTACTGAGTTTGTAGTTACTTTGACTATTAACAAAAATTGACAAATAACAGAGACTTACTCTTGATCTTGTTGATGTAATTAAGAGTGATCATCCCAAACACCAAGTCCATGAAGACACTGAAGGAGAAGAGATGGAGAATCCCTGCAGACATGGCTGCCACCAGATCAGCTGCAGTTACAACACAACAGCATTTGATTACTGACAGTGATCTAGAAAAACAGCTGCTTTCAGTGGAGAGGCACAGATTACCTCCACACATGTGCATCAGAAGAATGGTGACCACTGTGTCCAGAGAGAGAGATCCACTCAAAGTGGAGACTGCAGACGTGAAGAACAGTTCTTCTGAGCGATGAATCGGAGTCACGTCCTGAAAGAATAAACTCTTTAGTTTTCCAAAGTGTTTGTCACACCCTGAGTTATCAGTGTCACATCCTGTAACAAACGTAGTCAAAATGAAACTGAAACTGACTTTACCATAAATGCATCGATAACTACATCAATAAATGGGTTGATACTGATAACTTACTATTACAGGTTCTGTTTTAAAGTCTTCTTTCTGTTTTAAAACTACATTCATCTGCTGCTCTTTTAATTTCCTTCCCTGTTCTTCCACCTTTTTCATTGACTGCATTTCCAGTGGAAAATGAACCATCCCTGGATGTGCTGGTTTATCACCTGGAAAATAATCTAATATTGAAAAGGACAAAAACACGACAGCATTAAAAAGCAAAACAGACAGAAAGCTGCTGGATCATAAGGAAGAATCACTTACAGGTCCAAGAGGAAAAAGCCAAAACAGACGCGACAAACGAAACCATTTTATAAGCCATGATAATTACAGGAGCCAGAAACCTGCGGCATAGTTAAAGCACAGAAATCGATCTGATGGTCAAACACTTCATATCAGGAAAACAGCTAAAGTTAAAACAATTATATAGTTATAGAATGACTGAATGTTGACAAGAAATATCATGTTCCGTGAAAATACTGTAATAAACTACAATATTTTACCAAGCAACATAACTCATAAAAGCCTGCAACACTCACCTCTGTTACGTCGTTATTGAAGCTTTGAGCCGATAACCTCACCCAGCTGATCAAAGTGCTGCCATCTGGACTTTACTCCCATCATGTGTAATAAACTGGATGTATGAGTGGCTTGTGTAGCTTTCAGTTATGTAATGAAATACATAATGTAGCTCAGACCTACAGGAATGCATGCAGTGCACATTTCTTTTTCCAGATATTGGATTTTAACTTGCAATAAATTTGTACTTTTCACATAAATTACACTGAAATATATTAATATGTTTATATTAGGCATGATTGTTTAGCTGTTTTGATGCTGCTTCCTGTTTTCCAACATTTGATTTTATAATGAAAAATATGGATTATGATGGACTCAACAGTTCCTGCTGTCAGATTTTTATTCTAGTTTTGAACTTTTTAAGGTCAGATGATCTGGGGATAAAGTTTCAATAATCTGTGAGTCCCAGGAGATTTACTAATATATTGATTTTTAGGTCATTCAATTAAAAAAGGACAAAAGACAAGAACAAAAAGTCAACCAAAAATACAGTTTTGATCATTTTTATTATATTTTCCAGCCTGATCACACCGACCAATGTTTTTACTAAATAGTACGAATAGAGGAAAAAGTTTTGAAAAAATAGCTGTTAAATGAATCTGAATTGACAGAAGGAAGGAGGTCAGACTTTTTGGTTTTGCAGAGAAAAAATAAAAATTAAGTTCCAACAGAAAAACATGAACATAAGGAGCATTTTATTCCCAAATCCATGTAGAGAACTGTTGCTGACTTGACTTAGAGTTGATGAATGATTGTAAAAATATATTTATGCATTAGAAAAAAACAATGTGGTCCTTTATACACAGTATGTTGGATTCAGATTAGAGTCATTTTAAAAATGTGACAACTATAATTAAAAATCTGACTTAAAAAAAAAGACAGCTGTTAGAATAAAATTCTTACTCTTTTCTATAAATTACAGATTTCAAAATATTATGATAAAAACTGAAAACTTACTGAGAAACCACATTATTTTAATTTCCATCACTGTTTTGATTTGTGTTCATGATCTCATATGGGTTCCAGGCTCTTTTCTATGTTTAATATTTGTTTTTCACATAGTTTCTTCTGTTCATCCAGTTTCCACTGAGACTGTAAAAGCTTTTCTTTGTTCATTAACAACATCTCATGATCAGAATCGTTTCTCTGGGACATTAATTCCTCTACAGACTGAAGATATTTTCTGTTGTTCTTCCTTTCAGCCTCAATTTGATTTAATTCTGCCATCAGTTGATGTTTCTGCTTCTCCAGTTCCTGTTTCACCTCCTTCAGGGGATTTTTCATCATAACTGGAAGTGAAAAGGAAAAAATATATTAACATAATGAAGCAGTTTGCAATTCCTAGACTAACCACAAAGAGAAAATCAAAGAACTCAAATATAACCATGCTAAAGATCTGAAAAAGCAAAGTGCTATCAGGCAGTAACAGGAGCCTCTGACAGTCTGTTTCACACTTTGTTTTCATTTCCAGTGTCTGAATGGAGAATATACAGACAAACTTCATCACCATAACGTACATTTCTCTATCAGTCGAAGAACAACGTGAACTGGAGTCATCATCACGTCAAACCAGAAACTTACGACTTCTGTAGCTACAGAGAGAAGAAACAACTGGGTTAAAGGAAACGACGTGAAACAAGACACAGTTTCAATATTTAACTTATAGAGCAATAATCTTAAAGGTCAATGAAATGGATGGAAAGTCATGTACATGTTGTTAGTAGTCATAACTCACCTTTGGATTTACATCGATGGAAAACTCGACCAGGAGTCGTTTTTATGAACAACAAGAACTTTTCAGCTGTTACAGTCAGAAAAGAGAAAATCACAGTATAAAACAAGTCACTGTTTTTTAATGGTTAGCTGTGAGAAATACAGATGATAAGTTGTGATAACTTACCCCTACTTTTCCACTGGAAGACAGAAAGAACCAGATTATTATAAACTGCAGTAACTTTATTCCAAGGCCAGAAAGCTGAAATGAATCCAGTCCTCTCCGTCTGAGCGGCCATTGTTCCTGAAGAGAAATCAAACCAAGGGCAAATATCAAACTAAAATCAATATTTTTATCAAAAACTGAGAGAATAAATACAAAATAACTGGTCAAAATCTTAATAGTTACAATCTTAAACAAGCAGAAACAGTTTTAATCTAATGTGTATTAATTTATTGCAAAAATAATAAAAACTAAACCTCAGAAAAAGTTGAATCTAAAATAATAAGACATGGTGATGAGAAACTATTCTGTGGAAACATAGAGAGATCACATCACAATCTAAAGCGAAAGGAAAGGGAAAGATTAACCAGTGATAACAACGATAATTACCTTAGTAATTAATAATTTAAACAATATTAATGCCTTTTGAGTTAATTTCCAAAAGAAAATCGAACATTGGGAGAACATACCAGCTGCGTTCAGGATGAAGTCGGTTTCAATGTGCGACGTAATCCAGTCAAAGTCCTGCTACAAGATAAAGATAAGATAAAAAAGTCACTTTGTTCTGTTCAGTGTTTCATACATGATGTCAATGTTCTTTAATGTATCATTTATTAGCCCTGTTACTGCTTTCCAACACTTTTTTAAAAATGATAGTATATTAACCAAACATTTATTATCACCTTCGACGTTTCTTTTGACCTGAAACTTCCTGCTGGCAATAAAAGCTTTGATAAACCAGTTCTCCTGTTCCAGGTGTACAGACAGCAGGGGGCAGTGTGGAGCTGCTGAAACCTGCAGCCATTATGATCAAGAACTGTTCAATGATCACAACTGTTCAATGATCACAAACAAAGAATCAAAGTTCAGTCACAGAAAAAAGAAACAATAATTGAATCCCGTTATGAACATTGTGTGTAGCAACATGGAAAACGACAAAGTGAAGCTTGAAGAGCAGATAATATTTAAATCTATAGAACCTGAGTATCTGTGTGTATTAATTAAATATTAAATTAAAGTTAATTGTACATTAATATGCCATTATTTCTACCTGCTGCTTTGCTGCACTGAGTAACAATCCAAACAGGAAGAGGAAGTTCTGCTGCACATGATCAGGGTTCACATGTGAGACACGTTCAGTCAGCATCAAGCATCAGTCATGGAGGTCACAGCTCTCTGCTCACAGATCTGTGAGTACAGATACAGTCTATATATTGAGTTTTTAATCTAAAGCTTCTTCTCATGTTTCTACAGTCATGAACGTTTTTGTCTTTCTGTTGATACAAACTGATCTGAGTTTCACGGATCAGAAACCTGGTGAGTCGGAAACTATTTTGTTTCATGCATTTATTTTGTGAAAAGTATTTTTATTTTATCAGATTTAATTCTAGTTATTTTTAATTTGTTTACAAACAAATCCAGCAGCAATCTAAAATTATCACAAGTTAATAAAAATAAGTTTTCATTGTTATTTTCCATGGATTTATATTAAAGTTGATCAATTTATTTCTGTATTTTATCTTTTCAGCTTTTCCTGTTGTCTCTCCAGACAGACTTCAGTTCTTTGAGTATGAGTCTGTCTTTGTAAGCTGTGAGGAAGACAAGAAAGTGAGGAGAAAACTTCACAAAATGAGTTCAGCAGATCATTCTGGCGCCTGCAGCGTCGCAGCTGCATCCTGCAGCATTCAGTTCACTTTTGAGAGACACAGCGGAGAATACTGGTGTGAAAACCATGAAGGGGAAAAGAGCCGGGCTCTCAACATCTCTATTACAGGTCTGAATGTTCACTGGTCTCAAGAAGCTTCTAAAATTTCCAAAAATCTTGTTCTGGTGTTTTTTTACCTAATGAGAAAAGCTTTGTTAAAATGCAAAGAGTTTGTTTATGTGAACAAAAGATGTTTCTACCTTTCATGTGACCTTTAACCTGCACATTGCAGCTCAGATCAGAATGAAGACGAGTAAAAATGTGTTTGCACAGGTTTTAAACCGATACACTAATAATCCTCCTGTTTGTTTTTATTCAATTGAATGTTTTAAATTACAAAACAAGCCATTGTTTTGCAAAAACTCTTTAAATTTGTCTTTTTGTGGTGCCTTGGTCAGATATACTCAGATCTGGTCTTATTTACTATTTTTATTTTATTCTGGTGAAAATGTTCCTTAATTAATTTTGGGTTGTTTGCTTGATGCTTCATGAAGATCTCAGGCATTTCAAAGTCACTACTTGCCTGATGTGATGTTCTGTGATGACGTCCATATTAATGCAGTAATTCCTTTTAAAATAATTGTTGCTTTTCTCTATAAATGTAATTTTACTATTAAGTTTTACAAGTTGCAGGCATGAAAACCTAGTAATTTAAAAAGGTTGAGTGATCTTTCATGAACATTTTTAAACTATATAAAAATATATTTTGGCACAGAAACAGCAACATGTTGAAACTTTTCTCTTCCACCAGTCGGTCCAGTGATCCTGAATATTTCTGCTCGGCCGCAAAGGAAGGATCTGATGTGACTCTCCGTTGTTTCACAGAACACAAAGAAGACACACATAAGTGATTTTTACAAAGATGGCGTCCATCTCACCACCCACTATGAAACCGACATGACCCTCAGAAACGTCTCCAAGTCAGACGAAGGATTTTATAAATGCACCATTTCCCGAGCCGGAGAGTCTGCTGAAAGCTGGCTGGCTGTCACTTCAACAGAACAACAAGAAGAAGAAGACGGTATATTTATGGCAGCTAAAGCAGTGAACTGTGTTTTTGTTCACTAAATGAATCAAGTTATAAAAATCACAGGCATCCAACACGTCTTCAGTTTATGTGCATCTGATTTTAAAGCCTAAATGTGTCTGAATTCACTGACATGATATCTTAAATCTACCTTTCAGGATCTAACAAAAAGACGAACCTCGTGAAAAATCTCCCGCTTATAATCATCATTTTGTTGTCCACCATTTTCACTGTGTTGCTCTGTGTGGTTGGACTGATTCTCTACAGGAAACGCTCAGGTCCGCTAACTCACCTCCTCGATTCTCTGCATTTTAATTACAGAGGACAGACTATCAGTTTCATTATTAACCTTTCTTAAAACTGACAATATAATCATTTTTCTAAATTATAAAGTTTTTTTTCTCTCTTTCTTTAATTGCAGACTCAAAAAATGAAATTGTCTCAGATCCGAAGGCTACAACTTATGCCTTTGTTAAGAAACCCGGGACGAGGAAAGGTGAGTGTTTTTTGTTTAGGTTTATAAAAGACATGACGTTCATTGTCTTTTTTTTTTTTTTTTTTGAACAGATGCAGACGCTGCGAACAAACCAGACAATATCACGTACGCTGCCATAGAGATAAAAGAAAGGTATTTGTATTGCCTGTGGCGCAGAAACCGTGACAGTAGTTCAGTTTTACACGCTAACTCTGAGAAGGATTATTTTCAGACAGATGTATCGATGGGAGTAATTTTATCTCACCATCAAACCACAGGCTGCAGCTCCACATGTAGCAAACAGACAAGCATAGATTCAACCTGACATTAAACAGAAAACTGTCTCCAACTGCTGCATCATTTCTGCACAAATACTAACAACAAAAACAAAAAGCTTCGACTCAATAGGATCAGAAATAATTGATGCCAAAAGCTGCTAAACTTTAGAAAAGAAAGCTTCACTAAAATCTTCAACTGGTTGCAGTTTTCTAGTAAATTTTCTGTTTTTTGTTCATCAGGGTCAAAGGTTACCTCAGCTGCCACCGACAGACGTTCACCAGAGCAGGAGTCAGTCTACTACGCTTCAGTCGCCCTGAAAACTTAAATGACTTTTTTTATTGACTGTTTGGCTTTTTGAGTTCATGCTAGAAGAGTCACTGACATTTTTATCTCAAGTTCAAATGGACAAAAACAACAAAGCAAGAATAAACAGAACAATTTAATATACATTTATGTTGCTTATAGAAATTTAAAAAATGTTTTTAGGACTCATCCTCTTTCTCTTTCAGACTTTTGCTTGTTGTATTTTCTAGTTTTATGATGTTCTTGTTTCCTTTGTTGTCACATCTGTCTGGTTTTCAGAAGAGCAGCGACTGCTTTATAAATAAACTCACTGTGATGATCGTCACTTTATAGAAATATTAATATCTCCAGCGGTTCATGTATTCATTCTGAGTCAGACTGAGGTCAGTCTGCTGTCTGCAGTCAGAGAATGAATGAAAAACAGCTGAGCTAATCCAATCTAATGGTGTTAAACTAGCGCCACCTGCTGTCCAAACACCAAATGCTGCATCCACACACTGAAATTCATATTTGTACTTCAGGAGAAATTATTCAGTAAATTTTTACAAACTCAAACCAACAATAAATTATGTTTTTCTTCCAATGCTGTTGTCATGGCTACAAAAATCTCTGATTTTGTGCTAATGGGCAACATGACGAGGTCATGGGTTCAATCCCCATACTGACCAAATGAAATCTAAAGTCTTTCACACAATAAACACTTCAAAATAAAAATGGCTCAAAAATAAAATCAACATTTCAAAATAAAATAAAAAACAACTGAAAAATGTACATGTTGATTCTGAAAAACGTTCCTAAAGTCTTCAGATCATAAACTGAGTTTTTCTTAAATTAATGTGAACTCAGCATGATGTGTGGACAGTTAGCTCACCTGGTCAGAACGTGGTGCTAATGATGCCAAGGTTGCGGGTTCAATCTCCATACTGGTTAATTGAAAGATAAAAGCTTTCAGAAAATCAGCGATTCAAGTTTGCAGAAGGTTTTAAATGAAACCATTATGCTTACTGGTTTTGAAAAACATTAGAATACAATATATATATAGAGAGAAAGTTCATACATCACATAAGTCAAGGCCCGCTTGCTGCATCCAGCCTGCGAATGAATCATCTGTTGCTTTCTGGATGATATTTAATCTCTATTAGAATCAGCCACAGATTAAATGACACAAAAGAGTTTTGCTGCAGCAGTGAATATAAATTAACAGGCCTGCGGTGATGCAATGTTGGCTGATGACCACTAGATGGCAGAA